GTGGCGGTAACTCATAAACAGCATTGTCAATATTTTCAATTATATTAAAATCTGAAGACATAGCTGGCCATTCCAAAGCTCGAGTTTTTCTTTGAAAAAAAAAAAAAAAAATCATGTATGGGCAGTAGTGTTGTCGAAAAATTCTTCACTTGGTATTGTCTCTGAGTACCTTGTTAATAGATTTTATATTAATTGTAGATATTGCATGCTGTTCATTCTATTAGAAACAAAAACAATTTTTGTTTTCTTATATAGCAGATGGGACCCAACATAATCACATGAATGCCTCCTCCAGCTACTTGCATTTGCGAAAATACCATTTCTTCTTTCATTAGGTCGAGGAAAATGTCAAACCATCACGGCCGTTGGGGTTAAAAGTTTTCCCACCCGAAAATGGGGTTTTTCGCCATTCCAGGGCGAACTGTTTATGGCCTTCCTTACCAACTTTATTTAGCGATGGTAGCCGTTTCATTTTCTAGATATGCGAGGCCACCATTTATGACCATCCTCACGATTTTTTGCGATGGTTAAGGAATTTGCTGTTGGTTAAGACCGATAGCCTACCTGGTATTTTCTTTTTTCTGGATTATGTAAAAAGGTAGAAATGATTTTCCTCGTATGTTTACTGATGAAATCGATCGATTTTTCAATCTTAATATATATATTTTTTGTTTGACTGGGGCTTCCGACATCTAGGTCATTTCAGCTCCCAACTAAGTCTGTATTCATACAAATAAATACATTCATACACATAAATATATCCATACAATATACTCATTCCGTTTGGTCGGTGGAGTACTTGATATTCCTCCACCGACCTATACTCAAACTAATCTAGATAGAACTTTTATAAATATTCCGCCATCGACCCCGAACACATTCATACGCTCTCAACGTTCGAGGGTCGATGATGACGTTATATTTCACCCTCACCCTTCGCCATTCACGCTAATAAATACATGCACTCAGACAAAACATATAGACCCAACACATAAGACATATTATATACAATAAAAAAAACCAATTTCCCCTAAAAAGCGGAACAGGGAACCCCGAAACTCGCTGCGTGCTCGAGTACCATCTTCAGATTGGATGGCATGCCTACACACTCCCTGTAGGGAGCCAAGGCATGACATGTTTACACTTAATATTATTGCGCGTTCAGAAAGCACCAAACACTGACACGACCCGTTAAAACAATTACATCGATAGCTGAACAACAAGCCGAGTTTTCCAAATTGGTAAAAAATTGGATTTAGGTATTGTTTTTATTTCCAAACACAGGTGTGCTATCTTTTTGTCATACCTCAAAATCTATATTCACTATTTTTTCGGGGATTAAACCTTTACTGGCAATTAGTAACAAGTTCCAATTGAAGTTTAGCAGAAAATTTTTAAAATTTTCATTTTAAAAAATTAAGGAAAACAAAATTGTAATGTATAGACAAAATACTAAGATAGCTATCCCGGACATTATGAGTCGTACAATCGATGGGCATAGAACTTTAGCCCATACTAAGTACTATCATAGCTATCATCATTGATAGCTTCATTCTCTTCATTAATGCAACCACCTTCGTTCATCATGAGTTCTCAAGCAGTATTAAAAAAAACAAAAAAATCAATAAAAAAACTGTCACAAGCTTTATTGAAAACAAGGAAATACTTTTCAAATCGATCGTTCTATTTTTAGTGAGTAGCGTTTAATAGTATGGCGGTCAGATCTGAGGAGGCGATGAATATTTTATTTTGTCCAGCCCCATGGGTTTGAGGGGGTCGATACTGGGACCACTAGCGGTATTCAGGAAATCGGCATCCTTTGTCTTTTGCCACCTTCACCGCTGGTATTTCCAGTCTGGCGTAATTCGAGATTTTGAAATGCCGAACTTCGTGACAAAGTCGTGAAGTCCTACCTGGGGCAGGATCGATTTCCTCTCCCAGCAACGCGTTTTACACCATATTACACAAATCGTTGTCGTACATGTAAACTAGAAATTTGATTTAACACTTTTTGTTTTATTTCTTAAGAAAATTTAATATTCGAATTTTGGGTATGAACTCTTGCATCATTTCGTGTTATTTAACGAACTGTTATTTATGAAGAAGTAGGCTGGTTTTACGTAAAAATCTGAGTTCTCCTATTTAAACAGTCTTTATCTTTATTGCCATTAACCAACCTCCGTTTTTATAAAAAAAATGGATATAGCAGGCAAGAATAGAAATTAACTAGAACGACGGCTTGTATAATTGTAATAATGCATTTAAAATAATTAAAATTATACTTCTTGTAACTTTAGTCTTGTAGATCGAAGTTCTCAAGCCTAAAAGCGCTAGGCCATTTCAGTCTGCAGTGCAGAAAGACAAGTCTTTTAAAAAATCCATGTTACATAATAAAAATTACAATTAAAATTTTGTTGACGGCACTCATGATTTAGGCTAATAAATATGTTTATTCATAACACAAACAACTAATCAACTATATAGAATAGAAGACCCCTTTTTGTTTCACAAACTTAGAAAGAAACTATATAGTGTTCAAACCTTGAGTGGTTTAAAGTGTGAGTCGCACTTGAGCTATTTCATAGGTAGTTTTGTTTCATCGTTTCAACTTATGCTTTAGCTTTCCAATTCATGTAAGTTGGTTATTTATTATAAGTTAGAGTCTGTGAGATTGTACTGGCACTAGTTTAAAAAAATTACCAAGAAGAGGCATAACACACAGTTAAATATTTACTTCAACGCTGCAAAAAAAAAAAAATTCAAGGTGAATTGAGACTTTGTGCAACATAACTCGCAAGTAGGGGATGGAATGTTAAGTGGGTAATATTGAATAATGGAATGAAAAGGCAGAATTATTGTCCACGGAGGCCGTTACAGGAAATTGACCAATAACGTTTAGCAAAGTCTTCACCCAAAGTTACATTGAGAGAGTGGTTTAGAAAAATCATAAGATGGGAGGATGAATGGAGAGAAAGTAAAACAGGACTGTACACAATGGAATTTTTCCTGACGGTTGAGGCTCGTATTGAACCTGCCCTATTTCTGAGGATTTCAAAATGATAGGTCCCGAATTGTCATGTGAAGATATAATCTATTCAGATTTGGAATTTCATAAAACCACCTACATCATTGTATATTACTCAAACATGGCCTAGTTTGCCCTATTAGACGAATAAGGAGCACCTTCATAAAATGTTAATATAAGGAAGAACATTGGTGACTACCTACTCCAATTCTCACTATTAATTAGAAAAAAAGAATACTTATTTATGCAATTCTAAAAAAAATGTTATTTTGTAAACATTTTATTTTTATTTATTATTATTTTTTTAACAAGGGTATTTCAACAAGTTCTATCTTGGGATGCCGGTGTTTTTGAAAGTTATTTCTTACAATTACTTAAGGTTTTTGGTTGAGATAAAAAAGTCAGTGTCACAAGCGGGATTCGAACCCACGACCTTCGGCTAAATACGCTGCTGCTCTACCACTTGAGCTATCGTGACCTCGATCCACTCGGACATCAACTTCCTATCTCAACCCCACCTTATGAGTTTTCCCTCCTTATTTCTTACATCACAAAATCAATTTATAGCTGTTAAAACAGCATTTCTTTCGGGATCTTTAATGATCCTGATGATCGTCTTCAAGGCAAGAACCTAATTGAGCAGCTGCGATATCATATTTCAAACTAACCAAAACTGCCATTTATACCTGGTGAATCATGCACAGTTGATTGTACCGCATACCCTGTCCCATTTAGGAGAAAATTTTGGATTCATAGTTGATATGCGTAATAAGCTTGATCTCCTACAATGTCATGTAAATACACAACAAGCCTATCTTTCTATTTTCTTATGTAAATAATTATTTCACTATCACACATTAACATTATTTAACTTTAGCCTTTTGAATGTTGAAAAATGAGTAAACACTAAATAATTGGGATGAGTTGCTAACTGAACTGCATTTAAGAAATGTATGCAGTTGTAAAACGCACTTGTGGTGTTAAGGGTTATTATATTGGTCAATATGCTACGCATTAGGCCACTAAGTGACACAGGGAATTACATATTGTATAAATCTTCCTTTCATTGAGAGAATTCTTTCAAGGGGTTTGAGCCAAAAGGATCCAAGATTGGGGAGGTTGAGATATCCCAGTTTTTCTTTCTTCACGCTTGACTACAAGATCTCTCTGCCAGTCTGGTTCTACGCTGTCATCTTTATAATATTCTTGATTATGGGATGTCCTGTACAATGCCTCATCCCCATAGGCTAGAATATGAATACTAGAATTATGTTAAAAGAAAAGTAATATAATTGAATTCGCCCTGCTGTTTGATTTTTATTTGTATTAGCTATTTACTTACTACAAATGATAAAAACATGGTTTTCACACTTTAGATTTTACTGTGTTTATGCTTTATTGGGTAAGAGTGGCTCTTATGGAATCTGCTGGAACTAAAAGCATTTGAATTAACCTAAATATTCCATGATGAAGTTCCATCACAAAGAAATAGACATGTTAAAAGAAATTTATTGTGAGATGCCAAATTTTGGTTTCTTGAGAGGTCTCCTTGTTTTTTATTTTTGCTTTGGTTTAGCTATATCCTTCTGATTTCTGTCTCTATTCCTCCAACGTATACAATGTTCCTTTCTGTTCTTCATATCTACATATAGTAGCAAAAACATTTTCTTGTTAGAACATATTTCATAATGATTATAATCTATTAGGTTTCGTGGTCCGATTGACCAAGTAAATTCTTTTCAATTAATTAATTTTTAATTAAGGTTTTGGTTGAGATAAAAAAAGTTAGTGTCACGAGCGGGATTCGAACCCACGACCTTTGTCTAAAACGCCGCTCCTCTACCACTTGAGCTAGCGTGACTTCGATCCACTTGGACACCAACTTCCCACCTTTTTAATTTTCCCTCCTTTTTGCCATTTTTTCAAATGTCGTGTAAACTATTATAGTGATTATAATTTTGAAATCATTTTCCAGGAACAAGGCAGTAGCCGATTACTTAAGTAGCAATGGTTACATGACAGCACTCGAAGGCCTCAAGAAAGACGCTGATATTCCAGGCGAAGTCGAAAGAAAGTACGGAGGGTTGTTAGAAAAGAAATGGACCTCTGTTATACGTCTTCAAAAGAAGGTATTTAATTTATCAAAAATTCACTCAATTGTTAAACAATTATTTGTATTAATTTATTATTCGGTAATTAAGTTAAAACTAATACTGTGTGATTTTTTTGTTGGTTCAAGATAATGGAATTAGAATCCAAGCTTTCAGAGGCCGAGAAAGAATTCATCGAGGGGGCACCTACACGAGAAAAAAGATCTCCAGTCGAGTGGATCCCACGGCCGCCGGAAAAATTTATGCTTAAGGGGCATAGGGCACCAGTCACAAAGGTTTGTTTCCAAAAAATAACATATATTGTAATTTATATTATTATTGTACTACTAATCATATTTTGTAGGTTATTTTCCATCCGGTGTTCAGCCTTGCTGTATCTGCTAGTGAAGATTCATCGATTAAGGTTTGGGATTTTGAGACTGGAGAATACGAACGATCACTGAGAGGGCACACTGATTCAGTGCAGGACATTGCTTTGGACAGCAATGGAAAATTATTAGGTTAGTCTTTTTTTTATATATCAATTTTTTTAAATATAATCAAAGTGTATAAGCATTAATAAAATAATTTTTTTTTTAGTGTCTTGCAGTGCAGATATGTCGATCAAGCTCTGGGAGTTCCAGCAGAGCTATCAATGTTTGAAGACACTAAGAGGGCATGAACACAATGTAACTAGTGTTACTTTCGTTCCGTCGGGCGACTACATCATGTCTGCATCAAGGGACAAGACTATTAAAATGTGGGAGGTTGTATCAGGGTAGGTATAACTTTTTTTATTTCCTAAGGGATTGTTATTAATGAGAAAAATCCCATTTGTAAAGGTATTGCATCAAAACATTTACGGGGCATAAAGAATGGGTCAGGCAAGTTAGAGTTTCAGACGACGGCACATTAGTTGCTTCTTGCTCTAATGATCATACTATTAGGGTTTGGTTAGTTTCTTCAAAAGATTGTAAGGTAAATAACAATTAACATGATGTAATACTGGTTGGATCAAATTGTCCAGAAATAAATAATAACCTTTGCAGGCTGAGCTTCGAGGCCATGAACATGTTGTGGAATGCATCGCCTGGGCACCCAAATGTTCTTATTCAGCTATTAATGAAGCTGCCGGAGCGGATAACAAGAAAGGGTCTTTCGAAGGCCCATTTCTTGTGTCAGGTTCAAGAGATAAAACATTGAAGGTAATAAATATATTTAAAATTTTTTATTTAACTTATCACATTTTGATTTGACATTTCATATATGTTGGTCATTTAGGTCTGGGATGTTAGTCGGGGAATCTGTCTATTTACTTTGGAAGGGCATGACAACTGGATCCGAGGTGTAGTATTCCACCCGCATGGAACATACATTGTTTCTGCATCAGATGACAAATCTCTGAGGGTTTGGGATATTCGTAACAAGCGCTGTGCCAAGAAACTGGAAGCTCATCCTCATTTTTGCACTTGCTTAGGTAATTTTATAATTTTTTCAGTTTAATTAATGAAGTTTAATGTTTTGTTTTTTCTTCTTCCAGATTTCCACAAAAACCATCCGTACGTAGTGTCTGGTAGTGTTGATCAAACAATTAAAGTATGGGAATGCCGTTAAAAGGTATATGATTGCACTGACTGTCCATTCTGCCTCGACTGCTAATAAAAAGCATGGAGATCACCAATACTAGTCTGTCAGCATTTATGATCATTAAATAGAAATAAGAGATTTAAATTGGTTCAAGTTATTAAATGTCGACTTGGTTTTTTAAATCAGAAATCAATTTGTAGTTCTATACTAATCATTAATTTGTGTAATTATGTTAAGGGGCAGAGTGGGCACTCGGTTTACCCCACGGATAACTATCATTTGTACATTTTCTATTTAATTTGGATGAATTAGTAAAAAATTAATTTGGTTCTAGGATGTTATTAAGACCTTACTATATCGCCTGTTATTTATGAAACAGTTTGTTTGTGTCTAAATCACTTTCTGCCTACTGCAATATGCCAAGAGCCTCAATTGTAACTATGAGCATTCAGTGCCATTGCGAATTCCCATTTGTAGAAACAACACAAATAAACTGGCATCCAAATTATATACTCAAGTAGCTGTAATATGTACATTCATAATAAATTATTTATACATGTTGTCATAATTTTAAGTTGTGATGTGGAATATTTAATTTTAGGATTTTTTTTTTTCAAAATGTAAATATTTGTGGAATATCGCACATCTCGAATTTTATTTTTTACTACCCTTTTCTTTATGGATTGAAATCCTTTTTAACAATTTTTTTTAAAAGAATGTTTTTTCAGCACTCAGTGTTTTCACTATTATTACATAACATAATATAAGAAAATCTTGTCAGTAGTGATTGTCACTTCTCTGATATTCCTTGGTATTGAACTTTTAAAATGACAGTGTAATATTATTTTATAAAATTCAGTTGGTGAAATTTACACTTTTAATTTTACTTTGGCAATTTTAGAATGGTGTCTTTAGAAACACAAAAAAAACGCATGTTATCTTATATATTCAAACTAGGAGTTATTGTAGAAATAATTTTAGAAAAATGTTTCTCGATATTTGACATTTTATTTAGCTTCTGCTTTATCAGCAAAGAAACAGCCCATTTTAAGAAATAAATTAAAAAATAGAAGAAAAAAAAGGTTAAACGGCTAGTTACAAATTAACAATCAATGTGTATTTCATTCATTCATTAGTCCAGTAATCCACCTGTTTAAATATGTCATACATATATTTTTATGCATAATATACTATTATGTATGCTGCTTGTTATAATTTATTTGTTACCTTTTTTTTTACTTCCCACACTTTCTTTACCAATTCCTTTATTTTTAATTTAAAAAGCTGTGAGATTCAGTCTCAGCATGAGACTTTTTAAGTCTGTTGAGAATGCCATATTTGGTTTGCAAATCTGCATGGATTTGAAATTCGCAGAGTTGGAATTAGGGTGCGACAGAAGGAGGAGAAAAAATTTAATCTTTAAATCGTAAAATTCTATGATAATAGAACAAGTTAAATAAAGAATTACCATTTTCAGATTTTTAAACGTAATGCAGATTCATTAAATTCACTAATTTTGTGGTCCGCTTGACCAATTAATATATTACAATTGATTAAGGTTTTTAGTTAAGATAAAAAAATCAATGGCATGAGCAGGATTCGAACCCACGATCTTCGGCTTGATATGTCACTGCTCTACCACTTGAGCTATCGTGACCTCGATCCACTCGGACATCAACTTCCCATCCCAACCGCACCTTTTGAATTTTCCCTCCTTTTTGCCATTTTTCAAAAGCTGCGTAATCGGATTGGATTCTCGACGACAAATGAAATGGCCACGGAGAGCATTAGTGAAGTGTACTTCATTATAAATCATTAAATTCACTAATTTCGTGGTCCGCTTGACCAATTAATATATTACAATTAATTGAGATTTTTAGTTGAGATAAAAAAGTCAATGGCACGAGCGGGATTCGAACCCACGATCTTCGGCTTGGTATGCCACTGCTCTACCACTTGAGCTATCGTGACCTCGATCCACTCAGACATCAACTTCCCATCCCAACCGCACCTTTTGAATTTTCCCTCATTTTTGCCATTTTTCAAATGTCGTGGGTTCGAATCCCGCTCGTGCCATTGACTTTTTTATCTCAACTAAAAACCTTAATTAATTGTAATATATTCAATGCAGATTGTTCATACGACTAGTATTTAACACTGCGAATGAAACGGCGGTGCCTGTTATCCGCCTGGTGAAACAACCCGCTGATGCTTTCAATTCTCTCAAAGAAGATATAAAATATTTGCCTGATAAAAAGTCAGACAAAATAGGTGTCGCTGCAGCAGTGAACATGTTAAACATCTATATATATTGTGTGCACTAGAGACCTAAAAACTAATGCATCGCTTTTGCTGAAAATCTTACAGTTTGTTCTAAGTGGTACCAGGAGTATAGACTGTATATAAGGAATTTTAAATAAGAATGAGGGACATCAGAATAACATGATTTTTCCTTCTCGAAGGTGGGATAATAGGACATCTCAGAAAAACAACCAGCTTTTCTTTCAATCCACAACGTTTCAGATTTATTTTAATCCTTCCTCATGTGAGTTAACGCAGTGGTTAAAAAGACTATTTTAAAACATTGTGGATTGAAAGAAAAACTGGTTGTTTTTTTGAGATGACCTATTATCCCACCTTCGAGAAGGAAAAATCATAAGTTAAACTGTTGAGGTCAAAATATAAGAAAACATCGGACATCATAATTTAAAGAATATTTTCCATGTTTTCTTCCCAGATAGGCAGTGAGACCTCTCAAGCTTCCAGTAATTACTTTCCCTCTTTTTTCGAATTCCGATTCAGAGGCGCTGATGAATCAGTTGCACTGATGTAAAGATAGCAAGAACTGAGTGTACTCAGTTTACATATTTAGTGTAGTATTATTGATGAACGTTTGTGGACCAACAAAATTTCAATTCAGCTTCTGTCCTTCATTCCACAATTCACAAAGGTTTCAGAGTTGCCGACACTACATTTCTACATTTAGCACAGGCTTTTGATAGGATCTGGCAGCCAAAAATGCTTTATAAACTTAAAAGTTTATATTGCCCTACCCACCATATTATCTTATCCTGAAAGCCTATTTTTAACCAACAGCTGCTTCAGAGTGAGGTGAAGCGAGGCTTGGAAGTCAGACTGATACAAGCCGGCATCTCTCAAGGGAGCTTGTTGGTCCCATCATTACCACATTCCAATATCATCATAACCACCTAAATTGCTGCAATTTTGTCCTTTAATTTGAATCCTTCCACACCACCTCCAAGAACACCTTGAGCTAAAAGAAAGAAGAAAAACGTACTCAGTGTATGTTCACATTGAAAAAACAGTCTTGCCCTCCAGGCACATCAACCACAAACAGATACCGATTTGGGCCAAATACTTAGAGCAATACCTAGATAGACTGACATGGAATCCTCACACAAAATGTAAGAGACAATAACTTAAAAGAAGACTTGGACAACTACAAAGACTTGTAGGACCAAAATCTTACTTGACTGTCAACACCAAACTAGCCTTATAGACTTACTGCAACCGCTTAGGACATATGGTGTGGACGAGTGGTGTACTGCCAAGCCATCACTAACCACAACAACCTCAACATTCCTTTTATCAACAAACTGATCCATTCCTGATTCCTAGTTTTTCCATTTCCAAGTTTTACACCAATCTCTCAATCCACCTTAATCCTACTGCTCGAGCTCTCTCTCAGTATTCCCAGCCCGAGAATGAATGTGTGCTCCAGGTGAAGCGCTGGCATTAGTGTTCGTGATGTGACCATGTGAAAAAATGTATCGTGTTCACATTTGTAATATGTAAGGGTACAAATTAAAAAAAAAAAAAATTACATGGCTAAATGGAAATTAGTTACAATAATATAATAACAATTTATATTTGTTGAAAAAAATGAAAAAGCAAAAAAAAAAAAAAACATTCCGGTAACAACTATTTGTATTTTTTTTCTGGCCTTGTACTTAAACTTTGGCCATACCAATATAAATTATTGGAAAAATTGTTCTGTCTTGTGGTACATTTGTAAAAGATTGTCCTCCCTGTTAGACAGACTTTATAAATGTATTTTCGAAATACGGTAGACAATTAAATTTTCATGGGTTTAATAATTTATAACAAAATAAACACTTCCATTTGTAATGTTGACGTTCTCAATTGAAAATTAGTTTTTATTATTATAAAATTATTATTATTTTTTATTATATATTAATTTGATTTCCTTGATTTCCGAATAATCATTGACTAACAGTCACTAATCACTACACATTAGTTTTTATGATCATATGGAAGAGTTTGTGTGCTAATGTTAAATATTATTTGTACTACAATTAATTATTCTTTTATCTAAGTTCTTCAGTTGATATGAAAAATTAGTGTCACGAGTGGGATTCGAACCCATGACCTTCAGCTTAATACGTTGCTGCTCTAGCCACTTGAGCTATCTTGACTTTGATCCCTCGGACACCAACTCCTCATCTAAATTTTTGTTTATTTCAAATCCCGCTCCTGTCACTAATTTTTCATCTCAACCAAAAACCTTAGATAAAAAGAATAATTAATTGGGATAATTAATATGGTCAATTCTTTTCATTCCCTAATTTCGTGGTCAGCTTGACCAATTAAACATTACAATTAATTAAGTTAAGGGGAGTTGATGTCCGAGTGGATCGAGGTCACGATAGCTCAGGTGGTAGAGCAGCGGCATATCAAGCCGAAGGTTGTGGGTTCGAATCCCTCTCGTGCCATTAACTTTTTTTCATCTCAACTAAAAACCTTAATTAATTGTAATGTTTAATTGGTCAAGCGGACCACGAAATTAGTGAATTTAATGAATTAACTGAAGTACACTTCACTAAAGTTCTCCGTCGCCATTTCAATTGTCGTCGAGAATCCAAACCGATTACACGACATTTGAAAAATGGCAAAAGGAGGGAAAACTCATAAGGTGGGGTTGAGATGGGGAGTTGATGTCCGAGTGGATCGAGGTCACAATAGCTCAGGTGGTAGAGCAGCGGCCTATCAAGCCGAAGGTCGTGGGTTCGAATCCCTCTCGTGCCATTAACTTTTTTTCATCTCAACTAAAAACCGTAATTAATTGGAATATGGTCAATTATGACCACCAATTATGACGCAAGATCCTACACTAAGAGCCTCTGGCAAAGCTGTGGAAGCTGATTAATAATAACCTGAAGCTAGCCAGTGAGTTATAAATAAAAGGGGAGGACAATAGACCTATTCAGGTCGAGGTGCAGTAGGCCTTGTGGCCGCCTCTTTTATCCCTATCCCCAGGATAATCGCAAAAGAATCAGGGAAAAAGATAATTTCTTTAGAAATTCATTAGACTCTTGTCTCTTTTTAAACGTGCATAAGGTCTATAATATAAAAAATAAACAAGATTTTTGATATTAAAATATTTTTATTGTTGTTATTTTATATTATCACAATTTTTGTAGAGTATAATTTTGAATATTGTTACATTTAGAGGACTTTTAAAATTGTAAGTATTATTAATGTTTATTTTTTATTCAATAAATAATGCAATTAAACTTTGTAAAGGCGTATGAGTGCAGCGTTTTGTCTATTAAAATTATATTGTATATTCTTATTATAATTTGCAACCTATTATTTACAAAAATCACAATAATTTTACAATTTTACACTATATTAGACATTTATTAATTTGATGTCATTTACAGTCTTTCATTTGCAACAAAACAAAGTTAAAGCTCTAAGCTTAAATTTATAAATAATAATATATAGTAAATGCTTGGCAGTCTCATACTGTAACCGACAATATCAAAGCTTGCTCTTTTCAACAATTTTTCACAAATAAACATATCAAATCACACAAATAACAATTTGATATAGTCGATCACAGTATACTTGCATTTCTAATACAAAATTAACAATTTCCCTAAAACATTCATTCACAATACGTATCTTAGTAATTAGAATCGAAGACCTTTAATTAATTACAGTACATGTGGAAATCGGTCCTAACTAAAAATATACTTTCATGATATACAAATAATACATACAAGCACTCATCCATCGGACTATATTACAGTGTATAGGAAAAGCGAGTCAGATCCTCCAATGGCTTATTTCAATAGTTAGTTGGAAAAAGTTAAGAACACCCACACCGCAAGAAGAGAGAAAGTGTATTATTCCTGGAGGGAAAAAGTACTATGTCAATCCCAGTTTTATAAGTTAATTTTCTAATTTCTTACATTTTATTAAGCCATCTGAGGAGGTGACGATAAAAATTCCATATGAGGAACAGTATTGACGGCTTTACTGTTCTGTCACAAGGAATTTTTATATATGTTTCTCTTATTTATAATTTATTCTTCTGTCGTCTATGAGAGGTAGTCGGGCGAGGGCTCTGCGAGAGGTTCTGGCGTGGTGAACAACGGGTTTGGAAACTCGGGTGGATGTGGAAGGGGACCGGTCGCTTTTGGCCTCCTTCTATATGCAATAAGCCAACACGAAACTGCCACTGCTACTGCTACTAATGCCAATAAGGCCGTTATGACTAGTGCAATGATAAATCCAATCATTGACACACAGATATCATCAATTTGTTGGACTGATGGAGCTGGAAAATCGATAGTAAATTAGCCATTTGATTAATCAAAATTAAAAATAAGTACTAATTTGCCGTACCTTCTGTTGGATCAACAAATCGTTCTTCCCTCCGTTCAAGAGTAAGTATAGCATTGGATTGGATTGTTATCTCTTCTCTCAATTGGCCTTCGCTTACAGATTCAGCTACTTCCACACCAGTATTATTTCTTTCATTGATTTCTCTTCGTCTTCGCCCATATGCGTTATAGCCCCGACAATTTACCTTGAATCATTGTAAAATTACAATTTTTCAAATACAAGGATCTAATTACAACAAATTGTATATTTGAAAAAAAAATGCAAATATAAAAAAAAACTTACAGGCTGACATTTTCCAAAGCATACTCTTATATTACACTGGAATCGTATATTATCACTGCTTGGGAATTTGAAAGCATTGAAATTTGCTAATAACGTTTGAGTGTCAGAATTGTAGTCCCATTCACCAAAGATGTTAGGGTCTGTAGCACAACCATTCTCATCTGTCACAATATATTCATTTTCTACGCTATCTTCCATGGTTTTTGCAACACAACTTCTTGCAAAACCACCGTATATACCTAAATAAATAAAATTCATTATAATATGTTATTTAACGATAATTGATTATTGATTAATTGTGTGGCTCACTTGAAGGCTGAACGTCAACCTGAAGCATGAGATTGTCTCCAATCTCAGCTGAACTAATTTCTTGGCCTGTGTGGGTCACAATTCTCATGAGGCATGTTGGTGGTGGTCCCGTGTTTGCAATCGTACCAGCTGTTGTCAGCATTGAAACGTTGAATCCGAGTGTAACATTTTGTTCACCGGTCGTGTAGACACATTTGATGTGGTACGCTTGTGTTTTAAAGGTGACTAACATCGGATGTTTTTGGATGACAAGTACAAAACTTGCCTGTCCCTTTAATAAAAACATTAAGAGTTTTAGTAAAGTTATGACAAACAAATTAGCCTTTTTAGGAGGAAAAATTGAAGAAGAATTAATACTTACATTGACATGTATAAGCCCACAAGTACCAAAATTTACTTTGAAAATTTCTAATTTTGGTTGAGAGTCATTAGGCAGTGAAACTACACGTCTACATTTTTCATCTTTAGAGTGTCCTTTTACATAAAGAACACCATTGAATCCTTTTTCTTCTATGTGAATTTCAACTTGCACACCATCAGACAAGCAGCTCACTGCCATGTCAGGGCGTGGGAAATCTGTTCTCATAAATGGTGGGGGTTCTGAAAAGAAAAAAAAAACATCAATATAATCAATTTGCAATTTAGTTTTTTATAGAATCGTGTTATCAAACAAGAACTTACTGCAGGCAATGTTAGGGTCTCCAATATATCCAGAGATGCATTGGCAGACAGCAACATGTTGCGTAGCATTGCAAAAAGCATTGACAACACATGCTTTTTCTGCACAAGGGTCTTGGCATGTTTTAGACTCCTTGTTACAGAACAAGTGATCTGCACATTCATCATCTGTTTCACATTCTGGTACAATGCGTGGAACACAGAATCCATTCACGTCGAGTATGTAACCGTGATCGGTTGGACAGATGCAATCACCTCTATCGTTAATAATCAAACCTTTCTCTAGATCGCATATACAATGTCCTCTCTCGTCAACTTTAAATCCTAATTCTGGCAAGCATCTCACACACTCATCATAGTTATTCAGAGCGGTGCCAGGTGGGCAAACACAGTTACCATCTTTATCTCGGACAAAGCCTTTATCTGGTGGACATTCGCTAACTAGAAACAAAATATAGTGTAATTAGCAAATTTGTAATTTTAATTTTAAATTTTATAATAATAAAATACCTTTGTCACACTGCACTGCAGCATTTCCGTGATAACCAGGAATGCATTCGCAAACCATGGTTCTGACAGGATAGGTATCAAAAACTTGGCAAATAGTGTTTAGACCACATGGCGTTGTTGCATTACATGGATTGACACATTGTTCATTAATACAAGCAGTTTGGGATGGACAGTCAAAATCACCTTCACATTTTTTCTCAACTAAAAAAATTAATTTTTTATTTATTGTTATTTATAATAAAATAAAATAAAATGAAATTGATGTATTGGATTTTCTTGAGGTCATTTTATTAAAATGATATTAAAATAAAATGATTTAGATAATTAAACTTACTCGGTTGACAACCTGTTCCAACATCACCGATATAACCTGTTGGGCAAGTACAGTCAACGATATGGTTGTATACTGTGCATTCAGCAGGTGCTAGGCATGGATTTTCTAATTCACATGGTGATACACATCTTGTATTAATGCATGCTTTATTGCTTGGGCAATCTGAATTGGATTCACACTCAACCAGCAAGCATCCAACTTGTGGATCGCCGGTGAGACCCGGAGGACAATTGCAGACGGCACGATGGTTGCTGCCGTAGCAAAGAGCGCCTGTTCCACATGAACTGCCATCTGGAGAACAAACTGGAACACATTCTCTGTTCAAGCAGGCGTGTTGTCCTGAACAATCTGTATCGTGTCTACATCCGGCTGAAATTTATAATTATTATTTAGAAATTTGCATTATATTATAGGAATGTTTGTAATACCTTTTACACATTCTAAATCAGGATTTCCTTCAAAACCTTGTAAGCATGAGCAAACAGGTTTATGGTCTCTCACTCTACATTCTGCGTTTTGTCCACAGTTACAAGGGTCTTTACAAATGGCATTTATACATGCCTTGTCGGATGGACAGTTAGAATCAGATACACATTCTCCTATTTTTAATACAGGTGGTGTAGCTTTACATGTGCCGCTTCCACTCGATATATATCCAGGTGGACATTCACATATCATTGTTCTTACAGGGAGTGAAGGTACGACTTGGCAACTGGCAGGTCTTTGACATGGTTCCAAAACGCTACAAGGATCTTTGCAGAGATGGTTGAAGCAAGCTAACAGAGACGGGCAGTCCCCATCTACCTGACATTCTGGCTGAACCTTGGGTCTACATGAAGTGTAAGGGTTCCCTTCGTATGATGGTGGGCATCGGCAGAGTGCAAGATGGTTCTGGACATGGCATTCTGCTTGAGGAGCACACGGGTGTTCGTACACACAAGGGTTAATACACTGAGCGTTTATGCAAGCTCGGTCACTGGGGCAATCGGAATTCGAGCGACATCCCACTACAAGACATCGTTCATATGGGTTTCCTCTAAATCCACTCAAACAACGACATTCTGCTCTCGTTCCTACAGCGAAACATTCGGAATTTACTCCGCATGGATCATCAACCACACAAGGATTGATGCAGTTTCCATTTATACACGCCTTTCCAGATCCACACTCTGAATCTGTTCTACATCCAACTAAAAAATAAATAAAATTTAGAACAATCTTATTTTCGAGTCAATTTTATTTGTAACTCATACCAATTCTGCAGCCCAAGTTTGGATTGCCATCATAACCAACAATGCAAGAGCAAATTGGTCTATGATCTGTGACAAAGCATTGAGCATTTGGTCCGCAGTTGCACGGGTTTCTACACATCCTATTTATACAAGTCTCATTCGATGAACACTGTGAATCAGATGAACAGCCAGGTGGTGATGGAAGAACAACTGTAAAATTTATATATGTTTATAATTGGGAATTTTCTAATTATTAAACAATAAAAAATGATTAATATCAACAGTACTGCATGGTAATAATAATAAATAGTCACCTGGTGTACAATCTCCTTCTTCATTTGGCACCCATCCTACTGGGCAGGTGCATACCATCGTTCTAACTGGAGTTGTGTCAAAAACACTGCACATTGATGATGAACTGCAGGGTGTCAATTCTGTGCATGGATTTTTACACGTGTTTCTTATACAAGCCAATTTACTCGGGCATTCGACATCGTGTTCACATTCTGGAAGACCAGGCTTTGGTGGTGGAGGTCGATGACAAAATGATAACGGGTTTCCAAGTGGCATGTGCTCAGGACAGCGGCAACCAGCTAGGTGATTTCTCACATAACAGATTGCATTTGATGCGCATGGTGGATTAGCCATATCTGTGCATGGATTCATGCACCTATGCTCCAAGCATGTCCTGTCAAGTGGACAGTCAGCATCCACATTACACTCAATTCTCTCACACCTCACAAGGGGACTTCCACTGAATCCTGGGTAGCATCTGCATTGAGCTCTATGATTTTCACCGTAACATTCTGCATTTGCACCACAAGGATCGCCAATAAGGCAAGGATTGATACATTCTCCATTGTAGCATGTCTTATCAGAACTGCACTGGTTGTCTGATTGGCAACCAACTAAAACAAACACCATTTAAATCAATGTTCATATGTACTTAAAAATTAATTCACTCTTTTACGCATACCTTCTTTGCAACCCATCTGTGGATCTCCAGAATATCCAGGTTTACAGTAGCAGATCGGATAATGGTCTTGAACTTTACACTCTGCATTTGGTCCACAATTACATGGGTTAACACAAAGTCGGTTTACACAGGATTCTTTAGGAGTACATTCCGAATTTGAAACACAACCAGCCAACGGATCAGCAGCTGTCGGAAATTATTTTATTAATAGCTAATTCAAATTTATTTTGTTTTAAATATGCTGTTGAGGCTACTTACGAGGTGTGCATCGTGTAAATGGATCTCCAGAAAATCCAGAAGGGCATTTACACACTGCTTGATGGTCATGAGCACGGCAGAATGCTCCAGGTGCACAAGGTGAATCATTAGCGCAAGGATTTACACAAAGTTGATTCAAACATCTCTTATCACCGGGACAATCGTCATTGTGGGCACATTCTGCAACTGGTGTTAATGGCACCGGGTATCGTTGTTCTGAAAAATTTATTAAAATTAAGTAGATATTCTAAATGTAGTATTTTTATTAGACAATCTGACATTACCTGGTGTACATTCAATATGTGGATGACCTACAAAACCTTCTGGGCAAGTACATGTTGCTTGATGTCTCTGAGACAAACATTGAGCATTCAAACCACAAGGGTCGACCCTACAAGCTTCCTTGCATGATCCCCTAATACACCGGTCTGAATCTGAACAATCACTGTCTACGTGGCATTCAACATCAGGATGTCCTATAAATTCATAGTTAGCATATATTCTAAATTTAAATATACCTCAAAACTTACTGATTGGTGTACAATGGCCATCTCCTGTTGCTATAGTGTCTGATGGACACTGGCATAATATAGTTCGAAGGGGGAGGGTATCTTGTACTCTGCATTCCTGATCTGGCGAACAGACTGCAGGAAGGCTGCAAGGATCCTTGCATTGTTTATTTATGCATGCAAGTTTTGATGGACAGTCTGAATCTTGTGCACATTCAGGGGTAGGTGTTGGTAACCGATATCCTGAAAAATACAACAAATCGATAAGGTTAAGATTAAGTTGCGACAATGTGCCTATAAATAGTACCTATGCATTCGATAAATGGATCTCCTTGTGTACCGGGTTCACAGACACAGTTAGGTTGATGATCTCTAGCATGGCAACGAGCACCACGTCCACATGTGTCTTTTTCACATACAGGCCTACACACTCTATTGAGTCTGTCGCAAGCTTCATGGTCAGCACAATCTTCATTGTAATGACATCCAACAGATATACAAGCCACGTGTGCATCTCCTTGGGTTCCAGGTGGGCAGACACATTGTGCTGTGTGGGACACAACTTTACATTCTGCACCTCTTCCACAAGAGACACTGCCACAAGGTGAAATGCAGTTTCCAGAAATGCATGCCTTATCGTAAACACAATCAGAATCTACTTTGCATTCAGCTAAAAAGAATAATTTCGGTAAGTAATACAACTTTACAATAGATGTAATATCAAATGTAGTAAAAAAAATTGTACGTTTATAGCAATGGACTTGAGGATTTCCAGCCCATCCTTGAGGACAAGCACAAGTTGGTCTATGTTGGAGTGTTGTACACTCTGCGGACATTCCACATGGATCGTTAATCACACATGGGTCTTGGCATCGCTGGTTCACACACGCCCTTTGTGATGGGCATTCTGAGTCAGCAGTACATTCTGGTTTTGAATCGGGAACTAAACAAAAATATAAAAAACGTTCATAAAGGATCACAACGAAATCTCAATTTTCTAATATAAAAAATACCTTTATAGCAGTTTACAAATGGATCTCCAACAAGGCCAGGTGGGCAGTTACACACTGCTTTATGGTTGGTTGGTTGACAAAGAGCATTTTTCGCACATGGGTTTGAAATGGAACATGCATTCGCACATACTCTGCTTACACAAGTTTCTGAGAGAGAACACTCAGAATCACTTGAGCAACCTGATTCAACAGGCGTAGCTGAAATGTTAATAATAGAAAATCAGTATAGATCAAAATACAACAAAAAACATTTTTTAATCAAATCTTAAAAAAAGGTGTGTTGCTGTTAGTACTATTTCAAAAAATGGATATAATAGGGTTAAAGTTATTGTTGTTTGCATTCTGCTAGAACCTGTAATCACAAATAATTTAATGATGATTATACAAATATGTGATATAAAATAAAAATAATCAATAATTGTTAGTGTAAATTTAATTGATGAAATACCTTGAGTACATTGAACATCAGCATCACCGACAAAACCTGGCAAGCATTGACAAGACATCGTTCTCAATGGTAATGTATCCACAACAGTACATTCTGCATTTTGGCCACATGGATTTGTTTCGATACAAGGATTTCTACATTCTCCTCCAAAACAAGCTAATTTACTAGCACAATCTGCATCCATTTTACATTGTGGACCACTAATGGGTGCTAAAGTGAAAAAAAAAATGATTAAATTATTAATTTCATGGAAAAAGTTTTAAAAATCAATTTATATATTTTAAATTACCTAAAGTACAGAGTTCATGGGGATTTCCAACATATCCTGGAGGACACTGGCAGCTTGGCTGGTGGTTATGGACCGTGCAGAGAGCACCGAGTGCACATTTGCAAGGATCTTGACAACGTAGCTCCTTACAAGCCAGATGTGAAGGGCATTCAGTATCACTTGTGCATTGTGGTCTTTCACATTTTACATGTGGATCACCTAAGAAACTTGTAGGACAGTAGCAGCGAGCTCTTCCTCCTTGGACTCTACACTCTGCGTTTACTCCACATTGTGTGTACTTGCAAGGGTTTACACACTGTTTGTTGACGCAGGCTTCTGTTGGTGGGCATTGTGAATCAGCACGGCATCCGACTGTAAAAAAGTTTGTTATCAATGTTAAAACATTTATTGGCAGTTGTAAATATTCCTGACTTACTATCGAAGCATTGCGACTGGGCATTTCCTGTAAGGCCTTCTCTGCATACACAAATTGGCCTGTGCATTTGTACTCTACATTCGGCATTGTATGCACAAACACTTGTTGTGGCTGCCTGACAAGGATCAGAACACAGTTGGTTTATACAAGCCTTGACATTTGGACACTCATTATCAGTTGTACATTCAGGTTTAGGCATTTCTATTACAATTAAAAATAAATTAATTAAAAAATATAAAGCGCATATTTATTTAAGTTTTAAAAACCCACCTTGTTGTTGGATATTACATTGAATTCGCGGCTCTCCAGTATAACCGGGAGGACAAGAACAAACTGCTTTATGATTAACTGCTTGACAAATGGCATTAAGCCCACATGCATCGATACACGGATCTCTACATTTTTGTGAGAAACACACTTTGTCCCTGGTACAGTCTTGATTGATAACACACTCAGGATAAATACAGGTAGCGATTCCATTAACTGCTCGGCACTGTCCATTTTGTCCACAAGGTGTTGGGTTGCATGGATCGTTAGGGGGAGCTAGATAAAAATGTTGAGAAAATATTATTCAAACTGCAGAGTTTTGGTTAAGAAAATGAAATAGAAATATAACCTGGTAGTTGTTTGCATTCGACAAACGGATCACCCTGCAGCTGAGGTGGACAAGAGCATATAGGGCTGTGGTTAACAACATGACATACAGCCATGTAACCACAAACTCCTGGGCAAGGGTCTACACACTTATTGTTAACACATGCCCGGTTTCGTGGACAGTCTGAACTTATTACACACTCTGGTCGGCAGCCACTGCTACTACTTGGGCTACCTTGGAATTCGGGCAAACACTCACAAATAGCTACTCCATTGAGTGCATTGCATCTTGTGTTTGGTCCACAAGGAGAAGGCCGACAAGGATCAGTAACAGCTGGTTCTAAAGGAAAAGTCGGATGTAAAAAGAAAACCCTTTAATGAGTTTTAAGAGAAATATATTTTTCTTACCTTCTCTTGGGATTGGTCGGCAAGCTGTGAATGCGTCTCCAGTGTAACCTGAAGGGCATGAACATATAGGGATGTGGTTCGAGACAGAACAAACTGCACCCAGACCACATGTGCCAGGGCATGGATCGGCACATTTGTTTTTGATACAAGCCTGACTCATTGGGCAATCAGAACTGACAACACACTCTGGCCTGCATCCATCGTACGGGTTGCCTTGGTACTCCGGAGAGCACTCACACACTCCGTATGTACCTTCCACTCTGCAGAAAGCGTTAGGTCCACACGGAGATGGCACACAAGGGTTTGTTGCTTCAGGTTTTGGTATTTTGACTGAAAACAAGAAATTGAAAATTTGTTAGATTTTTTTAATGTTGTAATATTAAACCTGCAAAATCTAATTATAATTGAACAACTATGAAATATTTGTTGTTTGTTTGTCAGTCATGCAAAATATGCTTAAAAAATAGTAAATTCAACATGTATAAAAAAAAACTTCATTGAAACACATGCATATTTTGAAAGTCATGCTTAAATTGGTTGCAACTTGCAAACAATCGTGTACACAAATAGTTCATAACAAACATTTGAATCACATGCATAGACAATAATAGTAAACAATATAAATAAAATACATGCATATCTTGTTTTCCTTTTTGGTTTACGGGCAGCTTTCTTCTTTCTTCTGCTCCTCATGAAGATAGCGATGATACGATCCAATAAAACAACAATCGCAACCCCTACACTTACTAATTTTAAGAAAAGAATGGGTAGTAATGCTTACTCGGTGTCAAAAAGCAGCTTGTAAACGGATCTCCAGTATATCCAGGAGGACAATAGCAATTCGGTGTATGGCTCACAACCCGGCACTCTGCATTGGAACCACATGATCCAGGACATGGATCTCTACAATGAAGGTTGATGCAGGCTAACTGAGAGGCACATTCAGAGTTTGAAACACATTCTGGTCTACAGCTTGGAGGATTGCCAATATAATCTTTCAAACATGAGCATGATGGTGCAGCACTATTAGATAGTCTACATTCAGAGTTGGGACCGCAAGGATTAGGTACACATGGATTAACAGGTATTACTGGATCTGCAGGTTTTTCAGCTAAGAAAATAAAAAATAAACGTAAAATATTGTTCTTGTGATGAAAGTAATTGTGATATGGTTGTGTGAGAGCTTACGAATTGGGTAGCATCGAAGGAACGGGTCACCGGTGTATTTTGTAGGACACTTGCAAATGGGATTGTGATTAATAACTCGGCATTCCGCATTTGCACCACAAGTTCCTGGGCATGGATCAACGCAATGGAGATTTAGGCAAGCCCTTGAAGGTGAACACTCTGAGCTGACAACACATTCCGGCCTACAAGACGGAGGAGTTCCTACATATCCTGGCAGGCAAGAACATGTCGCTTGATTGTTAAATTCTCTGCAAACACTATTTGGGCCACATGGTGAAGGTACACATGGTTTTGTAACTACAGGCGCTGTAAATTACGTTTTAAGAAGTTAGCGTTAAACGTATAAATTCTTGATACGGAGAATGTACCTTGAAATTGTTGGCATGATACAAATGGGTTTCCAGACATTCCATCAGGACAACGACAAATAGGAATATGATTTACAACTTCACATAAAGCGTTTTGACCACAGGTTCCAGGGCAAGGATTTGTACACTTGTTCTGAATACACGCTTTATCCCTTGGACATTCTGAATTCAATAAACATTCTGGTCTACATCCTACATACGGATCACCCTGATATTCAGGCAGGCAATTACAAACTCCATTAGAACACAATGCATTTGCTCCACATGGGGATGGATTACAAGGGTCTGTTTCAAGTGGAGGAGCTGAAATATTCATCAAAGCAATTATTAACACGAAATTTTATTTTATTTTAAATAAAAAAAACTATTTTGTTATTTATATTACGTGGTGGTGGAGGCATGGGATAACAATTTGTAAACGGATCTCCAGTATATCCATCTGGGCAAGTACACACTGGTATGTGGTTCAGTACATTACAGTTTGCACCGAGGCCACATGATCCTGGGCAAGGGTCTCTGCATTTTTCCCTAATGCAAGCTTTGTTCCTAGGGCAATCGGTATTTATTGTGCATTCAGGTCTGCAATTCGGGGGTGATCCCATATACTGTGGCAAACATGTACATGCAGGAGAACCACCATTATCTCTACATTGTGAAAACGGTCCACACGGTGATGGTAAACAAGGGTTCACATATGTCTCTTGCACAGGGGCTTTTGGAGGTGCTAAAAGTGATTTGAATAGATTAACAGACTACTTAATTAGATATTTGCAATTATTTTTTACATAATTCAGAATTTATTTGTTTATTTTGAACTATGTATTAACCACTTATTGGCTGATGAAAAATGATTCCATCAAACTACATGTAGTATTAATAAACAAGGAAGTCACAAAGATATATGGATAAAATAAATTACTGGCATAATTTAACTTTCAATAGGGATAAAGTTATTCAACATTAATTGTTGCTATACAATGGCTGATGTTAAAATTCATATACAAATGAAAAAATAAATCAACTATGCTAACGCATATATCTTAATCAGTGTACTTTCAATATAAATTAATCTTTTGAACACAAATATTAAATTTTGTCCTTACGAGGTATCGGACGACACTGTGAAAATGCATCTCCAGTGAATCCATTGCGACAACTACAGATGGGGCTGTGGTTTATAACTTGGCACTGCGCGTTGAATCCACAAGTTCCAGGGCAAGGGTCGACACATTTCTGGTTTACGCAAGATTTATCCGAGGGACATTCTGTATTTACAACACATTCTGGCTTACATCCAGGAGGGGTTCCCAGATAAGATGGCAAACATGAACATATTGCTTGATCTTTATTTACTCGACATTGACTGTTTGGCCCACATGGCGATGGCTTACATGGATTGACTGGAGCTGCTTGTACAACTGTCAAAAAAAATTATCAAGTTAACTACTAAATTAGGAATATATTCCCAAATATTTTGAATCGATTCTTACGTGGTGGTATAACGTTACAGTATCTAAAAGGATCTCCAGTGTAACCAGTGAAACATGTACAAGAAGGTAAGTGATTTATTACTTGACATAGAGCATTTTGACCACATGTACCAGGACAAGGATCTTGACACTTGTTTCTGATACAAGCCAGATTAGATTGACAGTCAGTGTTTAGAACACATTCAGGTCTACATCCATCATAAGGATTTCCTATGTACTCTGGTAAACAGGTACAAGAACCTGCACCATTTTGCTCCTTACAAACTGCATTTGCTCCACAGGGCGATGGTTGACAAGGAGTAGCCTTTTCCTCTGGTACAGGTGCAGCTAAAATTTGGAATCATGATAAAACTGGTAAATGATTTCCTAATTTCATGTTCCAACTTACATTGCTTTGCTGTACATTGTGAAAACGGATCACCAGTAAAACCTTCAATGCACAAGCATTGTGGAGTATGGCTGACAACCCGACAAATGGCATTAGACCCACAAGTCCCTGGACAAGGGTCTTTACATTTCTGATTGATGCAGGCTAAGTGGCTGGAGCATTCACTATTACTGACGCATTCAGGTCGACAATTTGGAGGAACACCTAAGAATTCTGGGAGACAGGAACAAGAAGGACTTGTGCCTGACACTTTACATTGAGAGTTCGGCCCACAAGGTGAAGGCTGACAAGGATTTGTTGGAACTTGAACCACTGGATCTTCCGCTACATAGTAGTGATAAAATTAATTACATTAATCTTACTGATTAAATTTAAAAAATAAAATAAAATAACAACTAGTCTTACAGATTGGATAACATCTTATAAATGGATCTCCAGTGAAACGAACTGGGCAACTGCAAATCGGATTATGATTGACCACTTCACAACGAGCACCGATGCCACATGTTCCAGGACATGGATCGCGACATTTTTGATTACTACAAGCTTCATTTCTTCCACAGTCTGAATTAACTACGCATTCTGGTCTACATGCAGGCGGTGAACCTTTAAATCCTACTAAACAAGAACAAACGGCCTGATTGTTAATAGGGCGACACTGACTGTAAGGTCCACACGGAGAGGGCTGACAAGGTTGCATTGGAACAGGCGCTAAAATAAATTATTTATATTTATATATCAGAAATAATACTTAAGTAATACAAGGAGAGGTTTTGCACTACCTTTGAAAGGTTGACACTGAGTAAATGGGTTTCCAGACATTCCGTCAGGACACCGGCACACAGGAATGTGATTTACCACTTCACAAATAGCACCCTGCCCACAGGTTCCTGGGCAAGGATCTGTGCATTTGTTTCTAATACAAGCTTTATCTCTTGGACAATCATTATTTAATACACATTCTGGTCTACATCCAACATATGGATCTCCTTGGTATTCTGGTAGACAAGTACATATGCCATTGTCACACTGAGCATTTGAACCACAAGGTGATGGATTACAAGGGTCTGTTTGCTGTGGTTCAACAGCTATAAGAAAGAAAAATTACCTCTGTTGACAATTCAAATAACATTTTTGAATAGCTAAATAAATAAAAAAACTCACAGGGTGGCTTAGGGAAGCAATTTGTAAATGGATCTCCAGTATAACCTTCTGGACAAACACAAACTGGAGTATGATTAATCACATTGCAGTTAGCTCCAGCACCACATGATCCTGGGCAAGGGTCTCTACATTTTTCCCTTATGCAAGCTTTATTACTTGGACATTCTGAATTTATGGAGCACTGAGGCCTACAGTTTGGTGGTGAGCCAACATATTCTGGAAGGCATATACATGAAGGACTTCCTCCTATATCCCGGCATTGAGAAAATGGCCCACAAGGTGAAGGAATGCATGGGTTTACATATTCTACTTTGACTGGTTCTGGTGGAGGTGCTAGAGAAGAAGATGAGTCCATAAATTTTACTAGTCTTAACTTTATTCATGTAATTCATTTAAAAGATTCTCTTACGTGGTATAGGTCTACACTGTGAAAATGGATCTCCAGTAAAGCCTTGGCGACATGAACATACTGGGCTGTGATTTATCACTCGGCATTCTGCGTTGTGACCACATGTACCAGGACAAGGGTCGACACATTTTTGATTAAGACAGGCTTTATTTGTAGGACATTCCATGCTAACAACACATTCAGGTCTACAGCCAGGAGGAGCTCCAACATAGTTTGGTAAACAAGAACAAATGGCTTGACCATTGTTGACTTTACATTGACTGTTTGGACCACAAGGGGAAGGATTACATGGGTCTATTGGGGCTTGTTGTGTTGCTAAAACATTAAAAACAAAATGTAGATAAACTTTTCACCAAATTCAAGCACAATATTCTTACGAGGTGGTATATTGTTGCAATATCTGAAAGGATCGCCAGTGAATCCAGGGAAGCATGTACAAAGGGGAAGATGATTAACAACCTGACATTCTGCATTTTGCCCACATGTCCCTGGGCACGGATCCAGACATTTATTCCTGATACATGCAAGATTGGAAGAGCAGTCGACATTTGTCACACATTCAGGTCTACATCCTTCATAAGGATTGCCAACATATTCAGGGAAACATGTGCAAGATCCTGCACCATTCTGTTCTCTACAAACAGCATTTGCTCCACAAGGAGATGGAGAACAAGGTGTGGGAATTTCTTGAGGCAAAGGTTCAGCTAAAATATTAAATATAAAAATGAAGTTAAAATAATCAATATTGTAAAATATAGTAATTTTTAAATAGAGAAAAGTAAGACTTACATTGTTTTAAAACACATTGTGAAAATGGATCACCAGTAAAACCTTCATTGCAAATACATTGTGGGACATGGCTTACTACTCTACACATAGCATTAGTTCCACAAGTTCCAGGGCATGGATCTTTACATTTCTGGTTTATACAAGCTAAATGACTGGAACATTCACTGTTAATAATACATTCTGGACGACAACCAGGAGGTACCCCCACAAAACCCTGTAAGCAGGAACATGATGGACTGTTTCCTGACTCTCTACATTGAGAATTAGGGCCACAAGGTGAAGGAACACAAGGATTTGTAGGCGTCTGTTGTAGAGGTGCTTCCACTATACAAAAAAGAAAGTGTTATGGCACTCAAATCAACTTGAAATCTAGTATTTAGAGTTTGGCTTACTTAATTGCTGGCATCTTACGAAAGGATCACCAGTATAACGATTTGGGCAGGAACATATTGGGTTATGATTAACTACCTCGCAACGTGCCCCAACACCACACGTTCCAACACAAGGGTTTTTACACTTCTGATTATTACAAGCTTCATCTCGACCACAGTCTGAATTGACAACACATTCAGGTCGACACGCTGGTGGTGATCCCTTGTATGTTGGTAAACATGAACAAACTGACTGACCATTTACAGGTCGGCATTGACTGTATGGACCACAAGGGGACGGTTGACATGGCAAATTAGTTTCTACTGGAGCTAAAACAGTATTGAGTGAACTTACCATAAATTCTTGCAAATAGATTTCAAATAATACTAGCTATTTACCTTGTTGTACTTGACACTGGATAAATGGATTACCGGACATTCCATCTGGACAACGACATATTGGAATATGATTAATGACTTCACAAACAGCACTTTGACCACAAGTTCCAGGACAAGGGTCTGTACATTTATTTCTGATACAAGCTCTGTTTGATGGGCACTCATTATTGAGAATACATTCAGGACGACATCCTGTGTAAGGATCACCTTGATATTCGGGTAAACATGTACAAATGCCATTATTACACTGAGCATTTGTTCCACAAGGAGATGGATTACAAGGATCAGTTTGTTGAGGTTCGACAGCTAAAATAAAGATATTTATTTCTAATATGATGTATGACCACTTTTATAAAAATTATGAGCGTAACTTACGTGGAGGTTTTACAAAACAATTAGTAAATGGATCTCCAGTATATCCTTCAGGGCAGGTACAAATTGGAATATGGTTTACAACACTGCATTGTGCTCCTGATCCACATGACCCTGGGCAAGGATCTCTACATTTCTCTCTTATGCAAGCTCTATTACTTGGACATTCTGCATTGATTGAACATTCCGGTCTACAGTTTGGAGGAGATCCAGTGTAATCTGATAAGCATGAACATGATGGAGATCCTCCGATGTCCCGACATTGAGAAAATGGACCACATGGGGACGGGACACATGGATTTACAAATACTGGTTTGACAGGTTCTGCGAGTGGTGCTATTAAAAAAAAAAAAAAAAAAATGAAATCTATATTTATTAACCTTTCAATTTGTTTTCTAAGGCTGAATCAAAGTATATCATACGTGGAATAGGTCGACACTGAGAAAATGGATCACCAGTGAATCTTACTTGGCAGCTACAGATAGGACTATGATTTATGACCTGGCACAAGGCATTACGGCCACATGTTCCAGGACAAGGATCTACACATTTTTGATTTACACAAGCCTTGTTAGAAGCACATTCAGAGCTGCCTGTGCATTCTGGTCTGCATCCAGGTGGTGAACCAACAAATTTCGGTAAACATGAACATATAGCTTGACCATTGTTTGTTTTACATTGGCTGTTGGGTCCACACGGAGATGGGTTGCATGGGTCAACAGGAGTTGCTTGTACTGTTAAAGATAAAGTTAAATAGGTTGATTTGATTCATAGTACTTCTAAATATGAAAGTCCTTACTTTGAGGTGGAATTACATTGCAAGATCTGAAAGGGTCACCAGTATAACCAGTATTGCATGTGCAAGTGGGCAAATGATTAACAACTTGGCAATTTGCATTTTGTCCACAAGTACCTGGACAAGGATCTTGACACTTATTTCTGATGCAAGCTCTGTTCTGAGGGCAGTCTGTGTTTAGAACACATTCTGGCCTACAGCCCTCATAGGGGTTTCCAACGTATTCCGGCAAGCATGTACACGATCCTGCCAAATTTTGCTCTTTGCATACAGCATTTGCTCCACAAGGAGATGGTGAGCATGGTGTTGGACGCTCTTGTGAAACAGGTTCCGCTGAAATTGAACTTACTTAAGTACTTTTGAACATTATATATATACTACAAAATTTTTTTATATTATGAACAGGCTTACATTGCTTAAGAGCACATTGAGAAAATGGATCTCCGGTATAACCCTCATTACAGAAGCACTGAGGAGTATGGCTCACAACTCGGCACATGGCATTAGCACCACAAGTGCCAGGACAGGGATCCTTACATTTTTGATTTATACAAGCCAAATGACTAGAGCATTCACCGTTACTAATACATTCTGGTCTACAATTAGGTGGAACACCTAAAAATCCAACTAAACAGGAACATGATGGACTATCTCCAGAAGCACGGCATTGAGAATTGGGTCCACAAGGAGAAGGAACACATGGATTTTGAGGTGCTTGTTGAATTGGTGCTTCAGCTGAGAATGGATAAATATTAGGTGAATTTGCGTTTCTTTAGACTTTTAACGTTCATGTATATAAACTTACGCATAGGAAGACAACGTGTAAATGGATCCCCTGTAAAGCGAACTGGGCAGCTACATATAGGATTATGATTAATAACTTCACATTTTGCTTGAATTCCACAAGTTCCGATACATGGATTTCTACATTTTTGATTATTACAGGCTTCATTTCGACCACAATCTGAGTTAACCACACATTCTGGACGACATGCTGGTGGAGAACCTTTGTAGCCTGCTAAACAGGAACAGACAGATTGCCCATTAACAGGCCTACATTGGCTATAGGACCCACAGGGTGAAGGTTGGCATGGTTGTTGTACTTCAACAGGAGCAGCTAAAAAGCCATTCATTTTATGAACAATAAACTCTTTAAACAGATAATTTGAATATGATTGGGAATATAATGTACCTGCTACAGTTTGACACTGTATAAATGGATTGCCTGACATTCTTTCTGGGCACCGACAAATTGGAATATGATTTATAACTTCACAAATAGCACCCTGCCCACACGTTCCTGGGCAAGGATCTGTGCATTTGTTTCTAATACAAGCTTTATCTCTTGGACAATCATTATTTAATACACATTCAGGTCTACATCCAGCATATGGATCTCCTTGGAATTCAAGTAGGCATGTACATAAGCCATTGTTACACTGAGCATTTGAACCACAAGGTGATGGATTACAAGGATCAGTTTGTTGTGGCTCAACAGCTAAAAATAAATTTATATTTTTTGAAGATTGCTACAAAAACATATATTTATGTTGCAAATGAAAGTAAGTATTAACATACGTGGTGGTTTTGGTTGACAATTAGTAAACGGGTCACCAGTGAATCCCTCAGGGCATGTGCATGTGGGTGTGTGATTTATTACACGGCACTGTGCATTAAAACCACAAGATCCTGGGCAAGGATCCCTGCATTTTTCATTCATACACGCTTTGTTGCTTGGACAATCAGAGTTGACAGAACATTCTGGCCGACAATTGGGAGGTGCGCCAAAGTAATTTGGTAAGCAAGAACAAGATGGTGTACCTCCAACATCCCTACATTGAGAAAATGGACCACAAGGAGATGGTACACATGGGTTAATGTACATCTGTTGTACTGGAGGTGGTGATGGAGCTATTTAAAAAAATTAGCAAATTCAATAATTTTTTAATGTAAATACAATCGATGAAAATAAATGTAGCTTACGCAGTACAGGTCGACACTGTGAAAATGGATCACCAGTAAAACTTGGTCTACAGCTACAAATTGGGCTATGATTTATGACTTGACATAATGCGTTATGACCACATGTTCCAGGACAAGGATCTACACATTTTTGATTGACACAAGCTTTGTTCGATGCACATTCAGAGCTAACAACACATTCTGGTCTGCACCCAGGTGGAGTTCCTGTATAGTTTGGTAGACAAGAGCATATAGCTTGTCCATTGTTAACTCTACACTGACTGTTTGGTCCACAAGGCGATGGGACGCAAGGGTCAACTGGGCTTTCTTGAGGTGCTGTTAACAATAAAACTTTAAGTAATTGGAGTCAATTTTTGGCATACGACATCTTACCCTGAATGGGAATTGTATTGCAGAACCGGAATGGATCTCCAGTGTATCCTTGAAGGCAGGTACAAGTTGGTAAATGATTAACAACATGACACTCTGCATTCTGTCCACAAGTCCCAGGGCAAGGATCTTGACATTTATTTCTTATACAAGCCTTCGAAGCAGAGCAGTCTGTGTTGATAACACATTCTGGTCTGCAGCCTTCATAAGGATTGCCAATATATTCGGGAAGACAAGAACAAGATCCAGCCCCATTCTGTTCTTTGCACACAGCATTTGCACCACAAGGTGAAGGTTTGCAGGGTGTTGGGCGCTCTTGAGGATATTGTTCAGCTGTAAGGACAAAATCCAAGGTGAGCTTTGCATTGTATTTTTTAACAGTTCAGTTTGAACATGATACGTTAGGATGTGAGATTTCGTTAATTAAATGTGCTATATTTATTTGCACCAACTAAATTTTAATTTTACAAAACAAGTGTAATATAATATTCATAAGTATTCTTCTGCTTTAGTTCTCTTTCTAAATAACTTTTAAGTGAAAAGTCAGATAAACAAAAACAGGATTATTTAACTACATTTACTTTCAAGATGGATTGTCAATAAAGGAATACACATAAATAAGAAGAAAATGAAGATTGTTGTCAGTCTCAAGACAAATAAACAGGTAATCAAAGGGCAAGCCCAATTTTATATAAATAATTTTCTTATTAATTTAGAAATTATAAGATAATTGTGTGTGTGTATGTTTGTTTGTGTGTGTGTGTGTGTGTGTGTATACGTGGATATAATTTAAGGGTAGTAACTACTAGGTAAATGTAATGGAGAGCACAATTTTCGTAAAAGCACAGATTTGCCGGGAAAATATTTTAATAAAAAAATGAACATGACTGTCCTAAATTAAACAAAATGCTTTCTCTTTATCTAGGTCTAACAACAACTAAAACACGAACAACCGAGGAATTCGAAACATAAAAAACAATGAAAAGAAAAACTCACATTGTCGGATGACACACTGTGAAAACGGATCACCGGTATATCCTTCAGGGCACAGGCACTGGGGCGTGTGGCTGACAACTCTGCATATCGCGTTTGTACCACACGTTCCTGGGCATGGGTCTTTGCATTTCTGGTTGATGCAAGCGAGATGGCTGGAACACTCGCTGTTACTGACACACTCGGGCCGGCAGTTCGGAGGGACGCCCAAAAACCCGGCCAGACACGAACAAGACGGACTATCTCCAGAGACTTTGCATTGCGAGTTCGGACCACAGGGGGAAGGCAGACATGGATTGACAGGCGTCTGTTGTACTAAAGGCGTTTCAGCTGTCGGGAAAATAAATGAAAGCTTTAACAAACAGAGACAAGAAAAGACGAAAGAAGAATTCTCCTTGTAAATGGTACGATTCTAAATGGATATCTTACGGGTCAAATGACATCTGACAAACGGGTCTCCAGTGTAACGTGGCGGGCAACTGCATATAGGATTGTGATTGATGACTTCACATCTCGCTCCTACACCGCAAGTGCCAGGACAAGGGTCTCTGCATTTTTGATTGTTACACCCTTCGTTCCTTCCGCAGTCCGAATTGACAACGCACTCAGGCCTACAAGTAGGTGGCATCCCTTTGTATCCGGGTAAACAAGAGCAGACCGACTGCCCGTTCAATGGACGGCATTGACTGTTAGGTCCACAAGGTGACGGTTGACACGGGAACGATTCGACAACAGGAGAAGCTGTAAAATCAACTGTTGAATTGGCAGGAAATATTTTTATGCAATATCTTCAACGGTTAACATTTTCAAAAACTGACCGACGACTGGCCTGCACTGTATAAATGCATTGCCTGATGTCCCTGGTGGGCAGACGCAGGTGGGAATGTGGTTAAGCACTTCACACTGAGCATCCTGACCGCACGTGCCAGGGCAAGGGTCGACACATTTATTCCTAATGCACGCTTTATTCCGAGGGCAATCGTTGTTCAAAACGCATTCAGGGCGGCATCCTCTGTAAGGATCTCCTTGATACTCTTCTCTACATGTGCATTCACCGTCGTTACAATCAGCATTAGGACCACATGGTGAAGGGTTGCAGGGATCGGCGGCTTGCGGTTCGACAGCTGCAAGAAAGAAAAAGAAAAAAAACCAACAAACGTAGTAGAGGCGGTGGCCAAATTGGCTCTAAGGACAGACTATTGAGTAAAAAGAGTACGTATTTACTTGGTGGCTTGGGGAAGCAATTTGTGAACGGATCTCCAGTGTAGCCTTCTGGGCAAAGGCAAATAGGTGTGTGATTTATCACATTGCATTGTGCTCCTATACCGCATGATCCAGGACAAGGGTCTCTACACTTCTCCCTCATACAAGCTCTGTTACTCGGACATTCAGCATTTATTGTGCATTCCGGTCTACAGTTCGGTGGCGCTCCAGTATATTCCGTTAAACAGGTACAAGAAGGTGACCCTCCTATATCCCTGCATTGTGAATAAGGACCACAAGGCGATGGGACACATGGGTTAACTGGTACCGGAGCGGCTTGGGGCGGTGGTGGTGCTAAAAGAGTACAGACAATACCATCATAAAATCGCACGGAAAGTGTTGCTTGATATTCCGTCATTTTTAATCGGCTTACGTGGTATCGGGTGGCACCGGGTGAACGGATCTCCAGTGTAACGTTGTCTACAGCTGCAAATAGGGCTGTGATTGACAACATGGCATTCTGCGTTTTGACCGCACGTCCCTGGACAGGGATCGACACACTTCTGATTGACACAGGCTCGATTTGACTGGCATTCCGTGCTGACAACACACTCCGGCCTACAACCCGGTGGCGAGCCAACGTAGTTTGGAAGACATGAACAAGTCGCCTGCCCGTTGTTAACTCTACACTGACTGTTCGGACCGCATGGTGATGGCGAGCATGGGTCAACGGGAGCAGCTTCCACTATCCGGGTGAGAGTCGAAGATATTAATTATCATGAACAGTAAAAAACAAAACAAAAAAAGAAAAGAAGAAGAGGTGAGATGGGGTACAAGCTTACCCTGTGGGGGTATTAAATTGCAGAATCTAAACGGATCTCCAGTGTAACCGTTGTGACAGGTGCACAACGGTAAATGGTTGACAACTTGGCATTCCGCATTTTGGCCACATGTACCAGGGCACGGATCGGTGCACTTGTTTCTGATGCATGCTCGAGTCGACGGACAATCAGTGTTCAAAACACATTCTGGCCTACAGCCTTCGTAAGGATTACCAACGTATTCCGGCAAGCACGTGCAAGAACCAGCTCCGTTCTGTTCTCTGCAAACAGCATTAGCACCGCACGGTGAAGGTTGACAGGGTGTCGGCTTTTCTTGTGGGATCGGTTCAGCTGTGAAAATGACTTTTTGTTTATACTCCTGGACAACAAACGGCAATCGTTATTAAGCTAACAGCCATTCTTACATTGTCGGACGACACACTGTGAAAACGGATCACCGGTATATCCTTCAGGGCACAGGCACTATTAGTTATTTTGTTGGAACAACAATTTTGTATCATCCTCTAGTCCTTGCAATTTTTAGGGACATATTATGTCTGATATTTAGATTTTTTGTTGTTCGTTTTTCTGGAAAATGTTGATCTGTTATTGAATGATACTGCTAATTTTTATCAGAAACAAATATTCTTTAGTTGCAAAGTTCAAATGGAAGTTTTCATTTTTCTCAGAAGATCTTTATTTTTAATTGCATTAGTTTTTCTTAAATGCAATATCCTTTAAATGTCCTTCAATGCAGTAAATCACTCTTTTAGATGTGTTTGTAGGCATACAAGCAGTATTGAACATTTTTATAATATCAATATTGGTAGAGCAATTATTCATTTATTTATCATGTGCTCTGATTCATCATGGTAATGATTTAAGAGAGCATTCTTTGATCTAAGTAACATCATCATATAAGTGCAGTATTTTCCCAACCTGACCTTTCAATGCTGATGTCTGTTGACTTATAGTTTACCTAACTCTTCCACTTTCACAATTCATCACCTAATTCATACAGATTTTTATCAACAATCCTTTTTGTCTTAACAAGTACAATGTGTACAATGAATATTTTCTTTGCCAAGAAAATATGTGACGAAATTAATAAGAGCCATCATCACTTACTCATATTTACTACATTTTGAATGAGATGGTTTATTGGAATAGAAAGTAAACAGTTTTTACAAAGTGGTTTACTTGCTGATTGTCATGACTTGATCATAAGCCTTTTCTTAAGAAAGTTCTATGAAAGAGTCTTTCTTCATCTGGCCATCGTGACCCTCCTTATAATTTTTCTGTGATCAGAGTAGTACAAAATCTAAGCCTTTTAATTTGGATTTATTGATTCCATTTTTACAAATGCTACAGAAGAGGCATGATTCCATTTAATAAAAAATACGTTGAAACCATAATAAATGACAGTGTGATTCATATTAACCTGAAGGGAAGAATTTCATCACAAATCTCCATTATTCTCAGCAATGCAGGTATGAGAAATTTCCTGGAGAAGGAAAATATCAAATAAAGATGCCACATATCCACAACACTGTGAAATGTTTCAGCGAAAAAAATGAACCATTTTCGTAAGTCAGTTTACATATTGACCATTATTGTCCAGAAAGAAGCCTAAATGAACCGTTGTGTTCATTAAATACCACAGAATGCTGAGCCAATCATTACTTATTTAAATTCCTTCGTCAAGTATTTTGGTGGTTAAGGATTTTTATGATTATCTACACGCATTGAATGTATATCAACTATCTGCCACGCGAGTAGGTACAAAAAACAAATTCTCGCCTCTTGATTTGATCCTTCTCAGCAACTTCACAAGAGGGCTGATTTCAATAAACAAAAAATATACTTCAAAATTTAATGTTTAATGACCTCCTTGTACTATACTGTTTTTTGACACTGTCAATGACTGCCTTCCTTATTGATCTTTTCACTGCCAATAACTTTTATTAAAACAAAATGTAATTCTTCAAACAGTAGGATATACTGTCCAACAGTTGCTTCAGATGGCAACTAAATGAAGAGCATTTCAACTGATGCAGGGTCAGTCCAATAGGGAACTATTGTGGCCAAATGGTTTGGGCATCTGACTTGTATTTGCCAAGTTGGTTCTGGGTTCAAATCCTGGCAAAGCTCAAAGATTTTTAATTTAAATTAGTATGAAACGTATTGTAAAGTGGTTTGACACCTTGTCTCCACCTAATAATCCAAGGGTTATTGGACATATGATGGGAATTACTTTACTTTTTAATTATTGTTCTCATAAGTATATCAGGTTTGAGTATGTTTCCTGATGATGGAAATATGTGGCAAAATTATATCAAAAAACATGCCATATAAATCCACACACTTTGGGAACATTTCAAAACTGATCGTTACAAAAATATAAAGTATCGGATTGGCCAGTTCTTTAATTATTTTTTATAAATAAGTCCAGAGAAACTGCCTAAATGGGGATCATGGAAGACCACAGAATACTGTATTGATTATGACCGACTGATTTTTTCTGTTAAATTCTTCACTCTAGTTTGATTAAGGGTGGTTAGGGATTTTTATGAGTATCAACCCAAATAAAACAATATTCAATACTAGAATAACTGATAAAATGTATACGAAAATTCTAGACCTCTTAATTTAGATAAATGGAAAATCTTCCTTAGCAACAGTTCACTAGATTCCTACTTTCATCCAAATGAAAAACAGCGAAACCGAAATATTTATTGACCTAATGAGAAAGCATTTTGTTTCATTTTACTGTTATTTTTTCAATAACAATGACCAGTAAATCATGTTGAAAACGATGAAATCAACGACTATATGAACTTCACAGACAAAAACCAAACAACCTTCTAAACTTTAGGTCCAAACTCTGGCCAATTGAACACAGTATCATGCAACATGCAAATATGTATGTATATGTATATAATTACAGCAATATTAATCTTTTTTTTAAAAGAATTTTTGCATTTGTTTTTATCTAAATCAAATTTTATTAAAAAAAGATAGTTTTAAAAATTGGTAAGTAAATTTTTGTGATTATTTCAAAAAGATTTTCACAAAACAATTATGTGTCAATAAATTTTTTTAAAGTGTGGGTAGGAATAAAACTTGTTCAATAAGTTTTTAATAATTTAATACTCAAGGGTAATAGAAAACTTCTATTTTAAAAATTATACTTGGTTGATTGCTATTTAATTTAATTAATATATTATTTTTTAAGTCAGTTTATTTAAATTATATAATTACAACTGTTTGCTGTGATCAGTGGCGAAAATTTTAGACCAAGAAATAAACCTAATCAACGGTGAAAACTCGGCGGAGGAACAAACTTACCTTTTGGTTCCTCAAATCATGCAAAATTACACTTTTTTACAAGACAGACTGTACAACATATATTACAAAAACGTGCTGACATGCTAGAAGAGAGCCACGGCCACTCTCAAGACCTTATTTATTCTGGTCTATGCTTTAACTTGAACCAGATACTCTAGTCAAGTAAGGGGGGGTGGTGGAAAATCTGTGCCTTTTTAATGTGCTTTGTGCTCTGTGCTCGAAGGATATCCTCGTTGATTCGTTTATGTATCGGTAATACAATAAATAAAGTCACTTCAAGTAAACATTTTGAATGCTTAAATGGAAAACGTATGTGTATTTTGATTAATAAATTTGCTATTTAACTAGGTCAATATTGTAATTTAGATTTTTTTTTGTAGATAGACAAATTGAAAAGTTTACAAGAAGTGACATATTTTACAAACTTAATAATTATTTACATTAAAATAGAAATTGATTAAAAAAATAGAATTTATTACAACTGAAACAGAAAAACTTGGAAAAATTAAATTGATGAGAGCATTGTTTTTTTATTAATTTATTTTCTAAAAACTTCTTAGCTAAGATAGCTGGTTTATAAGGCTAGCAAATTATTGCCCAATGTTTTCATTATTATTTCTAGAGCACAGCACTACTGAATTAAATTGTTTGAAGCTACTTCTTTCCCAGTAGCAAAATAAGCAAATACTGTATATAATGTTAGGAGCTACTACTCATTTGAATGTTTTGATTCAAAAATTTGAATTTAAACTATATTTTGCTAAAGCACTACAGCGAAAAGCTAATTTTTACTCTTACTTGTTTAATATGATTTAAAATTGATTGATTAATCGGGAATCATTGTTAACTCCAACTTTATTAATTTGTTAAGTTCTGGCGATGATTAATTTTTTATAGTTATATTGTTCTGACTATTGTTTAGTATTCAGATTATTTTTTCACTAAGTTCACACAAAACTGTGATAAGGCAAATATACTGTTTTCATTGGGAGTGGTCAAAGTCTGGAAACTTAGTAGTCAACTCTATTCAGTATTGCGAACTTAAGGGCAATTTGTACATTCAACTGAACGGTATGAGTTTATAACTTAGGCATAAATATACATGTTTATAAATAATTTGAAAAATATTTGATCCATTCGGCCTTAGCCTATGACACAATTAGAATGTCACTAAGAGGTTTGGGTCAGTTATACTTTATAATTATAAAAACATTATTAGAAATAATCACTTGAATCACTGGATTTGTAATCAGGTGTAAGGCTGCATCAGTGAGAACTAACCATTGTCAGGGACATTGCAAAGATTAGGCTTTTATTTTATGCCTTTACTTCGTTTTAGTGAGGTTTATTCTTGAGGTCTTCTAATAAAGACGCTTAGCATTTTACTATCTACAATGGTAGCTTTATGACACAAGGTTAAATGCTGCAATGTGTCTAAACTTCCATGTTTTTATAACTCATGGTTTTTTTTAAAATGAATTACTTAGGTAAAAGTCTTTTTTACCTAATTAAGGATTAATTAATATAGCCTGTGGGAGGTTGACACACAGACACTTACTTTAGGTAAAAGCCCGCCCAGCTAGTTGAGGGGTGGTATTCCTTGGCTCATGTACAGAGCATGTGCAAATGTCACCTGATATGAATTGTGTTTGAGCACAACTGCGAGTATCTGGGTCCCCTGTTCCGATTTTTGGAAGAAACAGGGTTATTTTTTTGTATATAGTACTGATAGCTTTGAGTACCTAGCGTGTGTTAAGATCAATCGACCCTCCATTAGGTCAGTTGCATAATATGGGTAGAGGTAATCGAGTACTCCCCCGTCCTAATTGAATGAACGGTATGTAAATAGGAGAGAATGTATTTAAGAATGAATATAAGTGTGAACTGGTTTGGAACTGGTCGGATGGTGAATTGACAGCATCCGGAGCCCATCCCCGGTGGCTGAATGGATAAGACCGAGGTCTGCCTCTGAACTGCCTTCACCCGGGGTGGGTGATTCTTGAGGCCTGCTGGCAATTCATTTTAAAATTGCAAGAGCTAGAATTGCCAGTGCTCGATAGGTTCATTGTGCAGATTTGAGGTTATGCAAATCCAAAACCAAATTTGTCTTTTTCAAGAGTGTTTGCTGGTAATTCTTTCATGTCATGGGATCAATTCACATTTTTTCATGGAATTTTATGTTTACGCTATAAATATTCAATCATTAGGGACTGTAAAAAAGTTGTTCAGAGAAGATGGCCTAGTCTATTAAAAAGATATATAAAGAAAATCTACCTAATTTAAACTGCCCTTTGAAAGCATACAAAAATCCAGTCAAAGTGACATTTTGTTGGAGCGTAGTATTTAAAGAACTAGAAATGCCTTACTATTTTGTTTAAACATTCTGAAACTACTATTTGCCTTATAAGAGTAAAAAATCAGAACAACTTGATTAAAGCATCTAGGGAGAGGTTGTGGCCTGGAAACATGCACATGCAATATTTGGTAATGTCACAGAATTTTTTGTCAGACTTCTTTTTTATGGTGCAAACATTTATAAATGATTTTGATACAATTCAAATATTTGTAATAAAAAAGTCATAAATAGACAATATATATTATTTTCACTAATTTCGTGGTACGCTTGATCAATTAATATATTACAATTAATTAAGGTTTTTAGTTGAGATAAAAAAGTCAATGGCACGGGCGGGATTCGAACCCACGATCTTCGGCTAGATACGCCGCTGCTCTACCACTTGAGCTATCGTGACCTTGATCCACTCAGACACTAACTTTCCATCTCAACCGCACCATTGACTTTTTTATCTCAACTAAAAACCTTAATTAATTGTAATATATATTATATAACTTAATGTCCATTTTGTATTTCATACAAAAGCTTGATTGAAATTTTAATTTTATATTATTATTATTATTAATAATGAAGGTATTTCAATTACAAGGTTGTCTGAACCCTCGGGGTGCCAATGTTTTTGAAAAAAAAAAAAAGAAGAAAAAAAGTCCATTCATAAGTATATTGGGTTCAAAGCTTTCGGGACGCTGGATTCAAACCTGGGACCTTTACCTTACAGTGATGAGCACTGGATCAATGTCTAAACAGTTACGGGCACCACAAATCTTTTTAAACTAACATTTTGAAAAAAGTCTTTTCATTAAAGTCTAATATTAACACTAATGTTTTAAAATGAGTTTGTCTTTAAATATAATTTTCATTTGGAATAAATTCTGTGACATTTCTTACTTTACTACATCATTCGGTTTCAAGATGCAATCATGCAGTGATAATAAGAAGTCATTCCTACCTTGTAGGAGGTTGCAGGAAGTGAATGGATCTCCAGTGTAGCCTACATTGCATGAGCAAACAGGCGTATGATTGACTACCGTGCACTTGGCGTTGGCACCGCACGAGCCAGGGCATGGATCAGCACATTTCTGATTCAAGCACGCCTGGTTTGGTGAACACTCGGGGCTTATTGTGCACTCCGGCCTGCAGTTAGGTGGGATGCCAATATAGTTTTGGGAACAAGAACACGCCGGACTTTCCCCTCTGACTTGGCACTGAGAGTTCGGTCCACACGGTGATGGGCGGCAAGGATCAACAGGGTCGACAGGTCTTGGCGGTTCTGGAATACAAAAATATTTGAATTTGTCTTAAATTAACTTAACAAATTATCATTTATTGAAAATATACATACCAGGTAAGGTAAAGCATTGTCGGAATGGATCTCCAGTTTGTCCCGCTGGACAGCTACAAATTGGGTTGTGATTTACTACAGAACATCTAGCATTCAGTCCACATGTTCCAGGGCAAGGATCTCTGCATTTACTGTTCAAACATGCTTGTGTGAGTGGGCACTCGGCTGATACTACACATTCCGGTCGACATTGAGGAGGAGATCCCACGAAATTTGGTTGGCAAGTGCAAACGGCATGACCATCAGAAACTCTGCACAAACTGTTTGGACCACAAGGGGATGGCCTACAAGGATCCCTTGGCGCTTCTGAAAATAATCAACGGTCAAAACATATCTCCATGTATATATGGTGAGAAAGTTATTGTTTAAATTTCTAACCAGGTGCCTTCTGACGACAGGACACAAATGGATCACCAGTGGTTGAAGGAGGGCAGGAACAGATTGGAATATGATTGATTACGTCACAAGTTGCACCCTGACCACAGGTACCCGGGCAAGGGTTTATGCAATGTTGGTTACTACAAGCTTTGTTTCGTGGACAGTCTGAATTCATTGTGCATTCCGGCCTGCATTGGCTGTAAGGGTCTCCAAAGTAATCAGGGAGACAGGTGCAAACGCCATTATTGCAAACTGCATTTGCACCGCATGGTGAAGGGTTGCAAGGATCTTTTGCGACTGGAGGAGCTTCGGCTGTAAAATTTATTAAATCATATATTTGCCTATAATAAATAATTATTATTACTTACCAATGATTTGAGAACATTGGGTGAAAGGATCGCCAGTGAATCCAGGAGAACAGCTGCAAGTAGGAATGTGGTTTTGAACTCTACATTGAGCATTCAAACCACATGAACCTTCACATGGATCTCTACATTTTTCAGTAATACAAGCTTGAGTAGGAGGACAGTCTGTATTTACTACACATTCAGGCCTGCAGTTGGGTGGAGAGCCGATATAATTTTGCCGGCAAGAACATGCAGCTTGATTCCCTGAAGTCACTTGACACTCAGAATTTGGACCGCATGGAGATGGAACACAAGGATTGGTTGGCCTTGATGGTTTTACTTCAACTGGAGATGCTAAAAAGCATTTTTTATCGTTGAGGATTTTTTTCTAACACATTGTTTAATTTGTTTTTATTATATATACATACCAGGTATAGGATAACATCTGCTGAAAGGGTCTCCTGTCTGACCGGCTGGGCAACTACATATTGGATTGTGGTTAATTACTTGACATCTTGCATTGAGACCACATGTGCCTGGGCAAGGATCATTGCATTTTTGCTTATAACAAGCACGATTTGTTGGACATTCAGAATTAACAACACATTCCGGTCTGCAGTTTGGTGGTGAACCCATAAAGTCTCTAGCGCAAGAGCAAACAGCTTGACCATTTACAGTTCTACATTCGCTATTTGGCCCACAAGGATTTGGAGCACAAGGGTTGCTTACTGTTGGTTTGGTGACTAAAATTATACAAAAGTTAAGACCAGAAAAATACTTTAAATGTCTGTATGTAAGTAATTATATGTACTTGGTTCCTGAAGAGGTAGGGTGCAGCTGGTGAAAGGGTTACCAACATATCCAGGCAAACAGTTGCAAGTAGGAATGTGGTTGATGACAGAACACTGAGCATTCTGCCCACAAACACCAGGACATGGGTCTTGACATTTGTTTCTGACACATGCTTTATCAGTTGGACAGTCTGAGCTGAGCACACATTCCGGCCTGCATCCTTCATACGGATTACCTGTGTAATCCTGGATGCATGAACACGAACCAGCTCCATTACGCTGATTGCACACGGCATTCTGCCCGCATGGTGAGGGTTCGCATGGGTTAGTTATTTCTTCTAAAAGCAAAACGGTGATTGAAATATTTCACAGAAATTTAATCAAGTTAGAAATCGCATAATCAAACTTACCCTTTTGCTCAACACACTGTACGAAAGCATTTCCAACAAAACCTGGGAGGCACGTGCATGTCACAGCATGACTAATGACATTACACTGTGCATTAATTCCACATGTTCCTGGACAAGGATCTGAACATTTGCTATTCACGCAAGCTTGGGTGCTTGGGCAATCAGGATTTATAACACACTCTGGTCTACAATTTGGTGGTGATCCAATGTAATTAGGTAAACAGGAACAAGATGGTTGTTTATTAGATGAAACTATACACTGCGAATTTGGTCCACAAGGAGATGGCTGACAGGGATCTCGTGTTTCTGGTGGTTCAATTGGTGCTGCTGGTACTAGATAGGATTAAACAGATGATTTTAATATTTAAAAACCGTTGTAAATGATAGATCTGAGTCAATAGTAAATAAACATCACAAGTTTAATTTACTTACTCGGATAACAGCTCCTAAAAGGATCTCCTGTCTGTCCTTGAGGGCATGAGCATATTGGGCTGTGATTTATGACCTGACATCTTGCATTCAAGCCACAGGATCCCAAACACGGATCAGTACATTTATTGTTAACACAGGCCTGAGTTAAAGAACACTCTGAGCTTAAAACACATTCTGGCCTGCATGAAGGTGGAGCACCAATGTATCCTGTCAGACACGAACAAACGGCAACATTGTTTGGTGCTTGACACCGACTGTTAGGTCCACATGGTGAAGGATTGCAAGGATCCGAAGGCGTGGGCGGTGCTGAAAAATTCATAACCACCATCACAAATCTGTTATAAATAGTATATTTAAGAGATTTACCTTGAGGAATCGGTCTGCAATGTGAGAAAGGATCTCCTGTGAATGACTGAGGACATGAACAAGTTGGGATATGGTTGATAACATCGCACTGAGCATTCTGTCCACATGTGCCAGGACATGGATCTCTACATTTATTTCTAATGCATGTTTTATCTCTTGGACATTCTGAATTTAAAACACATTCCGGTCTGCAGGCTTCGTACGGATTTCCACTGTATTCAGGGTTACACTCACATACCCCAGCTTGACACTGGGCATTAGGCCCACAGGGAGATGGGTTGCATGGATCAGTAGCTAGCGGTGGTCTGACTGTAGCTTTAAAAAGAAAATAATTGTATTAATTTGTAATAACATCATAAAAAGAAATTGAATATCAAATTGTCATACTTGGAGGTTCTAGTGTACAGAAGGTAAATGGATCTCCTGTATATCCAGCATCACAAGAGCAGATAGGAATGTGGTTAACAACCTTGCAGTTTGCATTTGCTCCACAAGAACCTGGACAAGGATCTGTACATTTTTGATTTATACAAGCTGACTGACTAGGACATTCTGAGCTCAAGACACATTCTGGCCGGCAGGTAGGTGGAGAGCCAATGTAATTAGGCAAGCATGAACATGCAGCCTGATTGCCAACAACCAAACATTGTGAATTTGGACCACAAGGTGAAGGAACACATGTCACAGGTTCTGGTGTTGGTGGAGGTATAGGAGCTGCAGCTATAAAATAAAAATGATAAACACTACTAGGTAAAAATAACAAAAACTATGAAAAGAACAAAAAATTAATAAGTAAATTTAATAAAATTAATTTGATAAAGAAAACAATTTCTTACGGATAAGCTGGCATTGTGTAAACGGATCTCCAGTATATCCTTGAGGACATGCACAAATTGGATTGTGATTTTTTGTAGTACACTGGGCACGCAAGCCACAGGTGTTTGGACAAGGATCAGCACATTTTTGATTGATGCAGGCTCTATCCAATGGACATTCAGAGCTTACTACACATTCAGGTCTGCACGTTGGTGGATGACCAACATAATTTGGCATACACGAACAAACTGCTTGTTGATTCACAGTTCTACACTGGCTATTAGGTCCACAAGGAGATGGAAGACATGGATCTTGTGATGGTGTAGGAGCTGGAAAATAATATTTAATCACATATCTAAAGAACTTTTAAATTTGAGTTATAAAAAAGTTTAATTAAACTTTTCTAATATATTTTATATTCAAATTTGGTACATTTCACATTACCTGTTGGTGCGGCCTGACGGCAAGAAAAGAATGGGTCTCCTGTAAAACCAGCTGGACATGAACAAACAGGAATATGATTTGCTACAGTGCAGTCAGCTCCAGTTCCACATGTTCCTGGACAAGGGTCGACGCATTTAAAGCCAATACAAGCGAGAGCTGTGACACAATCAGGATTTGATTCGCACTCTCTCCTGCAGCCAGCGTATGGATCTCCTTGAAAGCCTGCTAGGCAGGTGCACGCTCCGACGCCATTTCTATTCTGACATTCTGCATTGGCACCACACGGAGATGGGAAACAAGGATCCACTCTTTCGGGAGTTCTCTCAGTAGCTGGGAATAAAAAAAAAGGACAAGTTAACATATTGTAATTGAGATGAATTTCTGCAATTTCCAGTCTCCTTCAAATATCCTCTTATGACCTACTTGCTATTGGTGCCGGTTGGCAGGCAATGCTTGCATCCCCAATAAACCCAGATGGGCATGTACAAACTGCGTTATGATTTATTACTCTACATTCGGCCTGGAGGCCACATGAACCAGGACAAGGGTCAGAACACCTTTCATTTTGACAAGCCAAGTTACTGGCACACTCCGCATTAATTGTACATTCTGGCCTACAATTAGGTGGGTTCCCAATGTAGTTAGGCATACAAGAACAAGCTGGTGTTGTTCCGACTGCTCGACACTGGGAGTTGGGACCACAAGGTGAAGGTACACATGGATTGGTAGGTGGTGCAGGAGTTGTAGAAACTGTAGAAAAAGAAGAGAATATGAAGAGAAAAGAAATATAGAAAAAGAGATAGAATCAGTGATGAAGTTCAATATTTTACAAGTAAGGTTAACTATTGAAAATAGGCCGTGCAAAATTATGAAACTACAGGCAACAAATATTTAAATTCAATTTACAATTAACTTTAAAAATATGAGTATTGTCTATTTTCAACAGTTTAGAAGATAATTTGAACCTCATTTATAGAAAGGATTTCTTACTTTCCACCTTGAGGCACCTAGTAAAAGGATCACCAGTGAAACCAGGTGAACAACTGCAGATTGGATTATGATTGACCACCTGACAACGTGCATTTAACCCACATGTTCCAGGACAAGGATCAGTACATTTTTGATTGACACAAGCCTTGTCTTGGGCACATTCTGAGCTAACAACACACTCTGGCCTACATGATGGTGGTGAACCAACAAAATTCGGTTGGCAGGTGCATACAGCATGATCTCTTACTTCTTTACAAATGCTGTTAGGTCCGCAAGGTGAAGGCACACATGGATTTACGGGCTCAACGGCTTCTGATAAAGAGTATTATAATTTTTAAAAGAGACATTAAAATGAAATATTAGAAAAGAATAGAGGATAGTTTACCAGATTGTATAAGAGTGCAAGAAGAAAGAGGATTGCCTGAATAACCGGGAATACAACTACATGAAGGAGCATGATTAACGACTCTACATTCTGCATTTAGCCCACATGTTCCAGGGCATGGATCTTTACACTTGTTATTTACACATGCTCGGCTTCTATCACAATCTGTATTAATTACACATTCTGGCCTGCAGCCAGTGTAAGGATCACCGAAGTATTCAGGTAAGCATATACACGATCCAGCACCATTGCGTTCTTTGCATATGGCATTTGCTCCACAAGGGGAAGGATTACAAGGCATTTTAGGTCCCTCTGTTGGTGCAACTGAAAATGAAAGTAAGAAGGAAAAGAAGAGATTAAAGAAAGAAAAAAGTTAGAAAAAAGAGATAGAAGTGAAGGCTTACTCTGTTGAACAGGAGAACACCCAGAGAAAGGGTCTCCTGTAAACTGTGGTAGGCATGAACATTGAGGATTATGTTTTACAACTTGACATGTGGCTTGCGGTCCACATGATCCAGGACAAGGATCTCGGCATCGTTCATTTTGGCAAGCCATTGTCCCTGGACATTCTGAATTAATGGTACATTCTGGACGGCAATTAGGAGGCCTTCCAATGTAGTTAGGTGAACATGAGCATGCAGGTGTGGCACCAACTGGCCTACATTGAGAATTTGGTCCACAAGGTGACGGAACACAAGGGTTTCCACTGGGTGGAGACACTGGACGTTCTTCATTTTCATAAATTAAAAACAATATTTAAAAAATGTAAAGTATAATTACAAACAATTGTAAATTGTAGCTTACTTTCTTCTTTAAGACAACGAACAAATGGATCACCCTGGAATCCAGTGGGACAGCTACAAATCGGGTTATGATTAACCACTTGACACCGGGCATTTAGCCCACAGGTGCCTGGGCATGGGTCTGCACATTTTTGATTTAAACAAGCCTTGTCTTGAGCACATTCTGAACTGACCATGCATTCTGGCTTGCAAGCTGGTGGCGAACCAACATAATTTTGCTGACAAGAACATACAGCATGGCTGTCTACTACTCTACATACACTATAAGGTCCACAGGGAGACGGTTGACATGGGTTTTGAGGTACTTCTGGCTCTAATTTAATAATAGAAATTTAACAATGTATTAAATGTGATACTATAATGATCAGTTGCACTTTATTCATCTTACTTGCAGGCGGTTGGCGACAAGCAGTGATTGGATCCCCTACAAAGCCCGGTAGGCAATTGCAGGTTGGAGCATGATTCACTACATTACATTCCGCATTTAAACCACAAGTTCCAGGACAAGGGTCTCTACATTTATTATTCATACAGGCTTTGTTTCTATCGCAGTCTGAATTAACAACACATTCAGGCCTACAGCCAGTGTAAGGGTCTCCAAAATATTCTGGAAGACAAGCACATGACCCAGCACCATTTCTTTCTTTACATACAGCATTAGCCCCACAAGGTGATGGATTGCAGGGCATTCGAGGCCCTTCTGTAGGGGCAACTGGAAACATAAAAGAAGTGTGAAATAAAGATAAGAAAATAGAAAGAAAGTGAAAGATACATTAAAGATTATAGTAAAGTGTGAAAGAAGAGAGAAGAGCTTACTCTGTTGGACAAGTGAACAGCCTGCAAAGGGATCACCTGTATAACCAGGAAGGCAGGAGCATTGAGGGTTGTGTTTAACTACTACACAAGTAGCTTGTGGCCCACAAGACCCAGGACAGGGGTCTCGACATCGCTCATTTTGACAAGCCAAGTTTCCTGAGCACTCAGCATTTATCGTACATTCAGGACGGCAATTTGGTGGCCTTCCTATGTAATTTGGGGAACAAGAACAGGCTGGGGTATTTCCAACTGGCCTACATTGAGAGTTTGGACCACAAGGTGAAGGAACACAAGGGTTAGTACTTGGTGGTGGTGTAACAGGCCGTGCTGAAAGAAATTTCCTAGTTAATGTTTATAGTATGTAGGTTATTGAACTAACATTATATGCATTTATGTTTAATATTAATGTTATAATAAGATTACAATTAATTAAGGTTTTTTAGTTGAGATAAAGAAGTCAATGGCACGAGTGGGATTCGAACCCACGATCTTCGGCTAGATACGCCGCTGCTTTACCACTTGAGCTATCGTGACCTCGTGGGGTTGAGATGGGAAGTTAGTGTCCGAGTGGATCGAGGTCACGATAGCTCAAGTGGTAGAGCAGCGGTGTATCTAGCCAAAAATCGTGGGTTCAAATCCAGCTCGTGCCATTGACTTTTTTATCTCAACTAAAAAAAACTTAATTAATTGTAATATATTAATTGGTCAAGCGGACCATGAAATTAGTAAAGTTATAATAAGAATTCAAGAATCTTACTTTCTTGCTTCAAACATCTCACAAATGGATCTCCCTGGAAGCCCGATGGGCAACTACAGATTGGGTTATGATTGACAACTTGACAACGTGCATTAAGACCACATGTTCCAGGGCAAGGGTCTGCACATTTTTGATTCAAACAAGCCTTATCTTGGGCACAGTCTGTACTAATCATACATTCAGGTCGACATGCAGGAGGAGTACCGATACAATTTGGCTGACAAGAGCATACAGCATGATTGTCAGTTACTCTGCAAACACTGAATGGCCCACATGGAGATGGTTGACAAGGATTTTTGGGCTTTTCAGTTTCAGCTAAAGAAGAAAAATGAGTTTATACACTAAATACTATTTTCATAAAAACTAAATTCATTGTCAGTTTCATATTTTAAATATTCTAGGGAATGTGAAGTATGATGATCTTACTTGGAGGACGTCGGCATGCAGCAATGGGGTCTCCAGTGAAACCAGGCAGGCAAGTACATGATGGAGCATGATTTACAACAACACATTCAGCATTTAGTCCACATGTACCAGGACATGGATCTTTACATTTATTGTTCATGCAGGCTTTATTTCGATCACAATCTGTGTTCACAACACATTCCGGCCTACATCCAGTATAAGGATCACCAAAATATTCAGGAAGGCAAACGCAAGATCCAGCACCATTCTTTTCTTTACATATGGCATTTGCACCACAAGGGGAAGGATTACAAGGCATTCTAGGACCCTCAGTAGGTGCAACTGAAAAGTGAAAAAGAAGAAGGAAGTGTAAGAAAAATGAAAGTAGAGTAAAGTAAAAGAAAGAATGAAAGAGAAAGCTTACTTTGTTGAATTAAAGAACACCCAGCGAATGGATCACCAGTGTATCCCGGAAGGCATGAGCATTGTGGATTATGTTTAACTACTCTGCATGTGGCTTGAGGTCCACACGATCCTGGACAAGGATCTCTACATCTTTCATTTTGACATGCCAAGTTTCCAGCACATTCGGCATTAATAGTACATTCTGGACGACAGTTTGGTGGTCTTCCAATATAATTTGGAGAACATGAGCATGCTGGAGTATTTCCAACCGGTCTACATTGTGAATTAGGGCCACATGGTGAAGGGACACAAGGATTTCCACTAGGTCTTACAGCAGGTGGTTCTAAAGGTCATAAGGTTTTTCGTTTTTCTTAAATTGCTCAACTAATTTTGTTTATTATATTTTAAAGTGATTTAACTTACTTTCTTCTTTGAGACACCTTACAAACGGGTCTCCTTGAAAACCTGTTGGACAACTACATATTGGATTGTGATTAACTACTTGGCATCGTGCATTAAGACCACATGTTCCAGGGCAAGGATCAGCACATTTTTGATTTAAACAAGCTTTATCTTGGGCACAGTCTGCACTAATCATACATTCTGGCCGGCATGCTGGCGGAGAGCCAACATAATTGGCTTGGCATGAGCAGACTGCATGATTATCAGTCACTTTGCATACACTATACGGTCCACAAGGTGAAGGTACACAAGGATTTTTTGGTTTTTGAACAGCTGGTTTTGTTTTGAAGAGAAAAAAATGAATAAGTGAAATTATAATAATTAATATGTGGGGGAAATTATCAGCTTACGTGGTGGTGGTGGTGGTAGTTGACAAGATGAAAGAGGATTACCAGTATATCCAGGAAGGCATGTACATGATGGAGCATGATTAACAACTCTACATTCTGCATTGAGACCACACATCCCAGGGCATGGGTCTCGACATTTATTATTTGTACATGCCTTATCTCTGGGACAATCAGTATTAAGAACACATTCTGGTCGACAACCTGTGTAAGGATCACCAGAATATTCAGGAAGACATAGACAAGAGCCAGCACCATTACGCTCTTTGCAAACTGCATTTGGACCACATGGAGAAGGATTACAAGGATTCCTTGGTGCTTCAGGTTGTACAGCTACAAGAGTTGGAAGAATGAAAAAAAAAAAAAAAAAAGTGAGCTGAGAAAGGCATAAATAAGATACATCTGGCCTAAACAATAAATACTTAGAGTCAAAAATACCCTCAGTGAAAATTAACTCAAGAAGTCTTTATTGCAGTTAGCCAGAAAAAAGAAATGTGAAAAAGAAAGAAATATATAAAAAAGAAAGAAGAATTAAAGAAAAGTGAGATGTTGCTTACATTGAATGATTGGTGAACATTCTATATATGGGTCACCATTGTAACCAGGCAAACAAGAGCATAAAGGTGCATGATTTGAAACACTGCACAGCGCATGCACACCACATGAAGATGGACAAGGATTTTTACATCTCTCGTTTTGACAAACTTGGTTGCCAGAACAGTCAGCATTAATTGTACATTCTGGTCTACAGTTAGGTGGCCGTCCAATGTAGTTACTTAAGCATGAACAAACTGGGGTTTGTCCTATAGTTTTACACAATGAATTCGGTCCACATATATTTGGCACACAAGGATTCTGGGTCACTACATCTGCCACAGCAGGCTCTATAATATCCCACATGCATTATACACATACATATCTACATATTTTCTTACATGCATCGTGCATACTTACTTTGATCTAAAACGCATCTGACAAAAGGATCACCATTATAACCTGGCGAACAAGTGCAAATAGCATTATGGTTTACTACTTGACACAACGCATTTATTCCGCAAGTCCCTGGGCATGGATCGACGCACTTGTGATTTACACATGCTCTATTTAAAGCACATTCTGAGCTAACAACACATTCTGGTCTGCACGATGGAGGAACACCAATATAACCAGGTAAACAGCTACATGCACCATACCCAGAATTTTCCTTGCATTCACTATACGGTCCACACGGTGATGGGTGGCAAGGATTTTTTTCAACAGCTAGTAAAAATAATAATTTTTTCAACATGCACTTATTTCAAATAGTTCTTACGAACTCTAAAATATATAAAAAAAATCTTACTAGGTTCATGCACTACTATGTGACAAGCGACAAGAGGATTTCCATAAAATCCAGGCAAACAGCTACAAAAAGGTGTATGGTGTGCAACTCTACACTCAGCATACAAACCACATGCTCCTACACAAGGGTCTGTACATTTGTTGTTTTGACAGCACTGATTCCAAGGGCAGTCAGTGTTTAGTACACACTGTGGTCTACACCCTGTATATGGATCACCAAAGTAGCCAGGAAGGCAACTGCAAGATCCTAGACCATTGTGATTCCTACAAGCAGTATTACTACCGCAAGGAGTAGGATTACAAGGATCTGTGATATCCACTTCTTGGATAACTACTGAAATCATGCAAAACAAAATTGGCATGCAATAAAATATAGAAAAAAATCATGCAATACATTTTCACCCTTGGCCAAATACATTCAAATCATGTCCTTTCTTGTTCTGTCTTCACAAATTAAATTAATAATAAAGAAAACATTGGGGGAATAAGTAAGCAACATCTTTCGTTTTCAAGATGTCTTACTTTGTAATGTGCAGGCATTGAAGGGATCTCCAGTCGAACCGGCAGGGCAAGTACAAAGTGGTGAATGGTTGACAGTAATACAATTCGCATTTGTACCACATGAACCCTGACAAGGGTCTAAGCATTTTTGCTTGATGCATGCCATGTTACCCGGACAATCGGAATTAGTCGCACATTCAGGCCTACAATTAGGAGGTGTTCCAAGAAAGGTAGGAAGGCATTTGCAGGCTGGCTGATTGTCAAACTGTTTGCATACAGAGTTTGGCCCGCAAGGAGAAGGGTTGCAAACATCTCTCTCCCTGTCTTCGCATTCTACAAGTTTTCCCACACACCGTCAATTACTATCGTGCATTTGTATAATGAAATTATTTTTTTTATTTTATAATGATGAAAAATTAGACTAATTTTGGAAGTATTTTAGAAATGATTTTGAAAAATGAGAGTATCGCCAAAGATAAAATATTACTAATAATAAATTTAACTTGTCTATTTAATTCAAAAATTTTTCAAAATCATTTCGATTTAGTTGGTATAGTTCAGTAATGATGAAGATGTTTTAAAATGATTTATTAAAACAGATTAATTCAAGGCAAATAAATGATGAACAAATAAGTTAAAAATGAATGATAGAAATTTCAAAGAAATAATTATAATAGTAAGAGATAAAAGAACATGCACATGCTTACTATCAGGTTTAAGACAGCGAGATAATGGGTCTCCTGTGTAGCCAGGGTTGCAGCTACATACAGGATTATGGTTGATGACGAGACACATAGCATTTGGAGCACAGGTACCAGGACAAGGATCATTACACTTTTCTCGGATGCAGGCTTTATTATTTGGACAATCTGAATTAGCAAGGCATTCTGGCCGACAAGTCGGAGGTATTCCGATGTATCCAACTTGACATGAACAAATGGCAAATCCACCACCCGCTCTGCAGGTGCTGAACGGTCCACACGGGTTAGGCCAACATGGTGTTTCAGGGCGCTTTGGTTTAGTTACAGCTAACAGAAGTCATTAAATAATTTAAGGTTATTGATAAAAAAATTATAAAATGAAAAGTTAATAAAGAAGAACGAGAGAAAAAGAAAACAGTTAGTAAAGCTTACAAGTAATTTTAGAGATGCATGAAACTTGTGGGTTCCCAGAGAAACCATCATGGCAGAAGCAGACCGGGCTCTTATTGATGACCCTGCATGTCGAATTTTGTGCACATGCACCAATGCAAGGATCAACACACTTATTATTGCTGTTACAAGTTAAATTCATTGAACAGTCTGAATTGAGGACACATTCTGGACGACAGCCTACATTAGGATCCCCAAAATAATTTTTTTTACAGATGCAGGAGCTTTTGCCTTTCTTAGTTACACAGTCTGTATTTGGCCCACAAGGTGAAGGTGTACATGGTGATTTTGGCCTTTTCTTTTGTATAGCTATGATTTATATAAATCATAATTATGAAAATATCTTACTTGACTATGAAGCATGATTTTTACCAATGAAGAAAATAATAAGCAAAAATGTGTCTGAAATACCTTTTGAACATCCTGAAAATGGATCTCCCTGGTATCCAGTCTGGCAGGTGCACACCGGTTGATGGTTCACCACATTGCAAAGTGCGTTGAATCCACATGAACCGACACAAGGATCTTTGCACTTTGACCCAATGCAGGCCAATCTTGTAGGACAATCCGCATGAATAAGACACTCTGGACGACAGTTTGGAGGAGTCCCAAGCATTCCGGCAAGGCAGGAGCAGACTGGTCGGTGTTCGACTACTCTACACTCAGAATTCCCACCACATGGCGATGGCATACAGGGATTTTCAGCAACAACTGGTACCCTTGGTTCTGAAAATGTCATTTGTAAATTTACTTATTCAGCATAACAAACGAACGTATGCAGAGATGTAAGAAAATCAATAATATTATACAAATGTTGTACATGAAGGTATATTGAAATCTAATTAAATTTAATATATGTATTATGATATTAATTATTTAATATTTCTAATGTCTTTTTATCTTTTCTAATATTCCTACCAACATTTTTAAATTAATAACTAAATATATTGTAATAAGATATAATTCATTTTTTAACATACCTTCTTGAACACATCGAACAAATGGGTCTCCAATTGTATTGGGTGGGCAGCTGCAAATTGGGTTATGATTGACTACTTGGCAATTGGCATGCAATCCACACGTTCCAGGGCATGGATCAGTACACTTTTGGTTGATACAAGCTTGATTTTGTGAACATTCAGAACTGGCCACACATTCAGGTCGACAAGAAGGTGGTGCCCCAATGTATCCCTGGATGCAAGAGCAAACAGCTGTGCCTCCTTGAACACGGCATACACTGTTAGCACCACAAGGGCTTGGCTCACAAGGATTGACCGGGCGGGCAGCTGAAATAATTGAATTTTTATTATGATATCAACTTGTTAAATTTGAAAACTTACGTTCTTGTGGCTTTGGACGGCAAGATTGGAAAGGGTCACCAATATATCCAGGATGACAAGAACAAACAGCAACATGATTCACAACACTACAAAGAGCGTTATTTCCACATACTCCCGGACAAGGATCTCTACAGTGACTTGACAAACAAGCAAGATTTTGTGCACAGTCAGCATTCATCAGACATTCAGGGCGACATCCACTACTATAAGGGTCGCCAAGGTATGGTGGAATACAGGTACATCTTGCATTTCCATTTTGATTAGTGCATTGAGCATTTTCTGCACATGGCCAAAGTTCGCAAGGGTCTTTAGGTACTTCAGGTAGGACATCTAGCAACAGAAAACATGCATTAGTTTTATTTTTAGCTTTACTTAGAAGATTTAGTTGTGTTTCTTACTTAGAGGTATTTTTGTACAGCTGATAAATGCATCTCCCTGATAACCTGGGAGGCAACTGCAGAAAGGAGTGTGATTAACGACATCACACTGAGCATTCAGTCCGCAATTATGAGAGCAAGGGTCTTGACATTTCTCTTGGATGCAAGCTTTATTTGAAGGACACTCCTGACTCATGACACACTCGGGACGGCAAAATGGAGGAGATCCAATGTAATTCACATTACAAGAACATACAGGGTGTCCTTGCTTTACAGAGCATATTGAATTAGGACCACACGGGCTGGGCTCACAAGGATTGCCTGGTGATTTTGGCTCTTCATATGCTAGAGACAGGACCAATTTGAAGGTTTGACTTTCCAAATGATTAATAATGTTGTCATACCTGGCTGGAGATGACAGCTCACAAAAGGATCACCCACATGGCCTGGAGGACAACTGCATATTGGATTATGGTTGATGACGACACAATGAGCTCCAATACCGCAGGTGCCAGGACATGGATCTACACACTTTTGATTGATACAAGCCTTGTCGGGTTGGCATTCAGAACTGACTAAACACTCAGGCTGGCATACAGGTGGTACACCCCTGTATCCAGGCAAACAAGAACATGTCGCAAAACCTTGATGAGATACTATGCATCGACTGTTAGGCCCACATGGTGATGGGTCACATGGATTTTCTGGATGGCCTAATTGTGGTGGTGCATCTGAAAATATCAATGAATGTATGAATCTTAGAATTTTTGTAATATGTGAGGTTAGATATGAGTAATACCTGGACTAACTGGATAACAAGTAACAAATGGGTCTCCAGTATGGTGTTCAGGGCAGTGGCAAATAGGAACATGATGTACACAAGAGCATAATGCATGTACACCACATGCTCCTGAACAAGGATCAACACATCTTTGGTTTATACATGCCTTGTTATACCCACAATCCGAATTTATAACACATTCAGGTCTACATCCTAGATAAGGATTTCCGAAGAAATTGGGAAGACAAACACATGCTGTACTACCATAATGATCTTGGCAAACTGCATTTGCACCACAATGTCTCTGTTGGCAGGTATCCACTTTGCTTTCAGAGTCTAAAAATAACATTAATTATCATGTAAAGTTAAACATTTAAAAATTGAGATTTGACTTTTACTCTACCTGGAAGAGGGAATGTGCAGTGTTCAAAAGGATTTCCAACCATTCCATGAGGACAAGAGCAAATAGGTACGTGGTGGATACAACTACACTGTGCATTCACACCACAGGAACCAGGACACGGGTCAATACATTTGTAATTTATGCAAGCATGGTTGAACTGGCAATCAGAATCGGCTAAACATTCAGGTCGGCATTGTGGATTCCAGTGAGATTCAGGTAACCCACAAGGATCACACATTGCTACTTGTCCAAAGACCATGCACATTGCTTCAGGCCCACATGGAGAAGGCTTGCAAGGCAAAGTTGCATTTGGGCCAACCACAGCTGAAAAAAAAAAGATTAAATCAATCAACTGAACGTTAATTATTTAGCTTACACAACATGTATTTTCATTTTTAGTACTTACGTCTGTGAATACATTGGACAAATGGGTCACCAATATAATTTGGAGGACAAGAGCAGGTAGGTGTGTGATCTCTACAGGTACAAACTGCTCCCAGACCACAAACGTTACTTGCTGTGCAGGGATTTACACATATTTGATTGATGCATGCAGAATCGTCCCCACAATCTGAATTCAAAACACATTCAGGTCGGCATCCTGTTTTTGGATTTCCCAAGTAATGCGGGAGACAGGAACAAACTGGCCTTCCATTCGAAACCCTGCATTCAGTATTTAGGCCACAGGGTGATGGGTAACATGGGTTTTTCGGACCATCGATACCTTAAAACAAATAAAGTTAATTCACTAAATTATGTTATTGTTAATACCAAGACATACTGAGCACTTGATAACATCTGACAAAGGGGTTTCCAGTGAGTCCATGGTTACAAGTACATACGGGATGATGTTTCTCCACTTTACATGATGCTCCAAATCCACAACACCCAAGGCATGGGTTACGACATCTGTGTCCTATACAAGCCAATTCCAAAGGACAATCATCATCGGTGGTGCACTGGGGTCCACCGCAACCGGAGAAAGGATCTCCAGCCATGCCATCAGGGCAAAGACACATTGGATGACCTTGAGGAGTTACTGTGCACAAAGCATGAGGTCCACAAGGACTCGGGAAACAAGGGCTTTTTGGTTCCAATTGACAAAGAGTATATGGATCTCCAATATAACCAGGCTTACAGTAACATTGCTCAGAATTTCCTGTTATATAACAATCAGCATTGTGGCCACAAGGACCTGGCTTGCATAGTGCTTTCACTGGTTCTAAAAACATTACATTGAATGAAATGACATATTCATAATTATTATTGCAAGTCATAAGTATTACCTGCACAAGTCCTATATGGATTCCCGACTAGAGGTTCAGGACAATAACAGGGAGGATTAGAATCTTTATCACACAAAGCTCCAATGCCGCAAGGATTGGGGAAACACGGGTTTCTCCTCTCCACACAACCTCGGATAGTATTGGGACTCTCAAGGTACCCAGGAAGACAAGTACACTTAGCAAAACCATTTTCAAGTACGGAGCATTGTGTGTTAGGACCACATGGAGATGGATTGCATGGGTGTCTTGGTAATGAACAGGGTTGGGTAGGGGGATTTCCTTCATATTCTGGTAAGCAGAAGCAAACTGGGGAGCCTTGTACAACTCGGCACCCTGAATGAGGACCACATGGATTCGGTGAACATTCATCACCTTCAGGTACTGAAATTACAAAATAAAATTTAATTTCAAGAATCTTTACATCTAAACTTATGAATTTATTTGAATCTTACTGCAATTTTTAAATGGATTTCCTGTCATTCCTTTCGGACAGTAGCATATTGGTCCACCAGCGTCAACTTCACAAAGAGCATTTACTCCACATGGATTAGGATCACATGGATTTAAGGGGCCTATAACATTTTTTTTTAAATTTTAGTAAATGCACTGTTCAACTAGAAAAAATAAATAATTGTACCTGTACATCCAACGACAGCATTTCCTCCATAACCAGGCAAACATTTACATGTTGGCTGGTGATTAACAACATCACAAATTGCATTTGAACCACAGTTGCAAGGGCTTCCACAGGCTCCGTTTAAGCAAGCTTCATTTGAAGCACATTCACTATCACTATGACAGCCTGAAACTGTTTATAATTTTCGTTAAAGAGAGATTCTCCAAAAGTTACCATCCTAAAAAAGTACCTTGAGTACAGAAAAGATAGGGGTTGCCGGAGAATCCTGGTAGGCATTGGCAATCAGTTCCATGATTTTTTGGCACACATTCGGCATTATCGCCACATGGATCATCTTTACAAGGGTTTATGCACACTCTATTCAATCTATCGCATAATTTCTCTGGCGGGCAATCTTCATTGTACTGGCATACAGTTTTATGCGACATAGCTATAAAATAAAAGTGAAAATCAATTGTCTGATCTGATTACCTACAATCGATAAAAAATTGTTACTAGTATTTTTCTTAATTACCGGGTACACAGCCAACAAAGCCGTTCCCATAAAAACCTTCGGCACATTTACAGTCACAACCGTGGTTGGTGTTAATACACACAGCATTTTGCGAACACGGATTGTGAACATCGCAAGGGTGTTGGCATGTAAGCCCAATGCAAGCTTCAGTGATTCCGCAATCATCATTGCTTAAACATGTCACTAGAATGCCAAAAGTCATTTAATTTTTGAAAAATTAACATAAATTATTAATGAATCAAAACAATAAAAAGTCCAATATTGTACTGCATAATATAAAACTGTATAGATACATAAATAAAACTTAAAAATGTAACCAACAACAAATAGATAAATTGAATTATTTTTGTGAGATAATTAGTTGGTTACTGATAAGTTAAACCGCTGAAAAGCAAAATTTTACTTGTAATTACATTAATTGTTACAATTTTAAATACTTGCTTTAGTTGATTAGTATCTCTAACATTTTAACTAAGTTATTTATATTGCAGTATATTATATATAAATATATATATATATATATGTTTGAAGGGAGCAATTAATTTGTTAATGCTTCTTACATGGCTGGGGGAGAAAGCACTTAACAGCAGGGTTGCCTTGATGTCCAGGGGGGCATGTGCAAACAGGGCGATGTTTCACAACATGGCATTTTGCTGTCGGTGCACAAAGGTTTTCTAATCCGCAGAGATCTTCGCACATTCCATTGTAGCACGCTTCAATCTCCAAACATTCTGTGTCCTTTTCACACGGTTGGGGTTTTTTTGGTTTTCCACCAGATGCTATATATTGCAATCGAGGATAAAGGGAAAGGGGCAGGGAAATGAAAATTAATGAACAATATTAGTTAGTGTTATAATATTTATAAAATGTACATAATTATTAATCTCCCAAATTTTGAAAATTATATGTGCAAGAAATGAAAATTTTTTTGAAAAACAAAGAAGAGGAAAGATTTATAACACAAGAAAAGTAAATGTTATTAGATATGGAAAAATTATAAAGTGCATTAGGAGTTCTTAGAAAATGAAAATAATTTAAAGAGAATCTAACTATAAAAAGTGTATATATTATATACCTCTTTGGCAATCCACTGTGTTGGTCCCCTGAGGACATGTTTTGCACACACCATTAGCACAAGCATTCCCTTTATCACAGTCAGAGTCTTTGGAACATAGTTTTTTATCATGAAACTGTCGTACAATACTAGGCACAGTCGTGTAATCAAGTGTAGTCATTGTATTTTCTGTGGTACTTTCGAATGTAGTATCTACTGTAAATGATTCTGTTGTTGATAAATTGAAATTATCAAACTCTGTGGGAGTGGTTGAGAAGTCCAAATGGTCAGTAGTAGTATTTTCATTTTCCAGGCTAGTAGAAAATGTCGACGGTTCAGTGGTTATTGTAAACTCCATTGTAGAGCCAGTATTAAATTCATCAATAGTTGAAGCAGTGGACAACCCCTCTGTACTAAAAGTTTCATCGGTTGAAGATGTTGTAGTATCAGCAGTTGCTTCTGATCCCATGGTAGTTGTTGTTGGGACTGTAGTCATTTCTGATGTACTTTCTTCAGTGGTTGTCTCATCACTTTTGGAAGTTGAAGTTATTTCAGTACTGACAGTTTCATCTGTTACAGGGGTTGTAGTACCAGCAGTTGTTTCAGATCCCATGGTAGTTGTTGGGACTGAAGTCATTTCTGATGTACTTTCTTCAGTGGTAGTCTCATCACTTTTGGATGTTGAAGTTATTTCAGTACTAACAGTTTCATCTGTTGAAGAAATTGTAGTACCAGCAGTGGTTTCTGATCCCATAGTAGTTGTTGGGACTGAAGTCATTTTTGATGTACTTTCTTCAGTGGTCATCTCATCAATCATAGGAGTTGATGTGAGGACAGTAGTAGTAAGTGTTTTTTCAGTTGAAGAAGTTGTAGAACCTTCAAACATTTCTGAAGTACTTTCTTGTGTCGTTTCATCAACCATAGGAGTTGTCGTAAAGACAGTAGTAGTAACCGTTTTTTCAGTAGAAGAAGTTGAAGACCCCTCAGACATCTCTATTGTACTTTCTTTCATTGTTGTTTCTTGTCCCTCAGTAGTTGAAGCCTCAGTTGTAAAAAAATTAGTAGTTGTCTCTTTACTCATTGGAGTTGATGTTAACGTAGTACCAACATCTTTAAATGGGGTTGTCTGTTCAGACATCTCAGTAGGGAATCCGGTCGTAGTTGGCAATGAAGTCATCTCCTCAGTAACATGAGCTGATGTTGATAATGTACTATCAGTTTTTTCTGTTGAATATGTTACAGACTCAGTAGTTTTTCCAGCACTCTGATCAGGCATGCTAGTGCTTTCATCTGAATTGGTTGAAGTCTGTTGAAAAACCTCCGTGGTTGCCGTGTCACTCGCTGTTGATGTTATGACTGCGTTGGCTGTACTTTCCATAGTAGCTGGCATGGTAGTCATGTCACTAGTCTTAAATGTTGTTAAAGGCGTTGTCATTTCACTAGTTAAAACTGTTTCCATGTCATTTGTTGTTGACAAGACTGTACTCTTATATTTTTCTGTTGTTGATTCAAGTTCACTGGACAAACTAGGAGTAGTTGAATCAGTCTCATTTAATAATCGTCCCTGATAAACGGGAGAAGATTCTGTAAAGTTATTCTGCTCAGTTGATAATTCACTAGAGCTTTCATGTACAAAATTAAATGACATAAGAGTAGAATTTTCAGTTTCTGCAAATACATTTACTACAGTAGTCTGAGTAATTCCCCCCTCACCAGTAGTCATTTTACCATCTTCTGCATCTGTAGTGGCTGAAGGTTCTAAAACAGTTGAAGGTGGTTGACTAAATTCATTTAGATCTGTTGAATCAGTAAATCCAACAGTAGTCATTTCCAATGTTGAAAGTACATTGGGAGAGGTATGATTGACTTCTTCTGATATGGAATCTGTACTCAGCATTGTCGACTTTTCAGTTGTAGGCAAAGATGATGTAAATTGTGTTGTGCTCTGAGTACTTGTAAAAACTTGTGTAGTTAACATGGCATCCATCATAGCTCTACCTGATTCAAAAAATGTCGTCCAAAATGTAGGAGATTCAGTAGCAGAGGTGTCATTAACTGCAACTGTACTCATAGTGCTCATTTCATCTTGAACACTGCTTAAATTGAACCGTGTTGTAGATTCAACCATTGGCTCAGTGGTTTCTTGTGCGATTGCTGTAGTGAATTTTGTTGTTTCAGCATTACTCTGTTCAGTTGTTACATTTTGCATTTCATTGGGTTCATTAAACGAAACAAACTCAGTATTATTGATTTGACTGCTTGTTGTTTCTTCCTGCATTTCATTTGTTATCAGATCTGTTGACACTGTGGATGATTCAGTTGTCATTTCTGTTTGTGTGAAAGTTGCTGAAACTTCTGAAACTGCTGGAGAACTTTGAGTGCTTTCCATTGTTGTAACAGTGTTGGTAAAACTTAGATCTGGCAAATTTGTGCTGGTTTGATCATTAATAAAATTAGTAGAAGTAAAATTATCCATGATCTCGTCAACATTTGTGGTAAAAAATGGAATGGTCTCAGTAGCAACTTCAGTTGTTCCCATGGGAATTTGTGTAGTTTTTGAATCAAAGAATCCTGTTTGTCGAGTTGTTACTGATTCTGTTTGACCTTCACCAATAGTCGTAAATGTTGTTGGCTCAGTTGTACCCTGTGATAGTGCAGCATCAGTGACCATAGTTGAACTTTCGGTGGTTGAATTATTCAAATCAGTTGACGATTCCGTCATTTCAGAAACTTGAGTCGTCATACTTGGGGTAGTAAATTGTGTTTTTTCTTGAGTTGTAGAGAACAAATTGGTAGTAGCCTGAATTGTACTGAATGTCGATTGTTCAACTCCAGGAGTTTCAGTAGAGGGTTCTACAGTACTTTCTTCAGTAAACATTTGTGATAATGTTGTGGAAGAGAGTTTATCTTCTTGAGTCATTTCTGAAAAAAACTCACTTATACCTTTTCCAGTAGTAGTACTCAGTTGGAACGTAACATTTTCAGCATTTACTGGGATTTCAGTTGCATTTTCAAAATCTGCATTGGTCATACTTTCAAAAGTCGTACTTGAGCCTTCTTCAGTTACTAAACTGTTTATAGTTGACTTCTCAATAGCCGAAGAAATTGTACTACCTGTCGGTTGACCACTGTATTCTTGTGTTGTTTTCTCTTGGTCCTCATGTATTCCAGTAGAGGATTCTGTTAATGCAGTCATCCCACTGGTGGTACTTTCCGTGTTCGTTGAAGATGAGTCTGTTGTTTCAGTGAATTTTGTCGTAGTAGTAAGTGATTCCATCGATTTTGCTTTATGCGTTACAGAAGAAAGGGTTGTAGTATGTTCAGAGTAATCATTAGTAGTAGTAACGGTTGATGTCTCACTATCAAATGTGGAGGAAGTTGCCAAATTGTCTCCAACAGTATTTGATATTGTCGTCCTTTCAGAAGTAGTAACAAATTCATTATCAGTTCCTAGACTGGGTTCAAATGTATAAATAGACGTTTTCATTTCAGGAACTTTATAAGTAGTTAGGGGTTCATTAGTAGTTTGACTAGAAATTGTAGGTTGATCTTTGTTAGTTGTAGAAAATAAATTAACATTGTCAGTCTTATCAGTATTTCTAAAGTTAGAACCAGTTACATCATCCGAATTAGTCGTATGATCAGTCGGTTCAGTAGTTCTGTCACTAGATTCAGTTGTGGTAACTTCAGTTGTGGTAACTTCAGTTGCAAATTCTGTTGTGGAAACAGTATCAGTCATATCAACATTTTCGGTACTTTCTACTGGGGGTGTACTCTCAATAGGAATGTGCAAAGGTGTCGTTGATTCGGCTTCTAACAGCATTGCCAGGTGAGGTAGACAAAGGCACATAGAGAAAAAGCAAGTTAGTTATAATAGTAAAATGTGCACATAGTAAAACATTTTTTATATACAGATTTTTCTTAATAGAAACCAACAGTGGCACATGATAGACTTGTGGAGAAGGTGAAGCATTAGTAATAGCAAAATAAACAGCAATACATTACCATCAAAAATGAAAAGAAAAAGAAAAAGGGTGAAGAAGACTACAAACTATAAACAAAAAGTGAAGGCAAGAAGCAAACATGCACATGCAATATTTTTTTTATACAAATATACACCAAACTTGAACCAGAATGGCCATTCAGTCCATATGAGTGGCTGGGACAAAAAGTACCCATAATATATTTTTATAATCGAGTACACTACACAACAAATACCAAACCATTGATCATCATGATTGTTCTATAAAACTTTTTTAATGTGAAAATATTCTTTAAAACTTTACATGATTTTATGCGTGACATTATATTTTACTATGAAAAAATATTTTCTAATATGCAAAATGATTTTATGCAGACATGGTAAATCATTTGTAATTCTACATGACTGGCATTCCTGCGAAAACCCCATGCTGCAGTCTGTGCTTTGCACTTAAAACCTCCTTCTGGACAAGCCCATTATGGTTTCAAATTTTCAATACCTAGCAGGTATTGGATTCAAATTCAATTATATTAAACAGTAAACATAAAACGAATGTAACTACTGTTCTGTCAACAAAATTTTTTTTTACACGTATACAATTAGCAAAACAGTAGTTATCATTGGTTTAAAAGTGGTCTGAAATTAAAATATATTCTAAATAAATATACAACTTTATATAGACAAGAAGAAAAAATAGTGTTGCTATCTGGTCATGTACATATTTAGCAAACATGCTAAGAACCATTCAAGTGTCATTAATCTTGAACTTTTGTAGTACAAGAGAAAAAAAAGAGTGAAAATGTGAAGATAAGTGAAAAAAGAAAGTTTGAGAAATTTACAAAGCAAGGTGGTATTTTTGAAATTTCCCAAAGTGTAATTTGGTATACGAAATATTTCTATACAAAGTTGGTTTTTATGGTCTTTATCAAAACAAATTTTGCACTGTACATAAAGAAGGTAGATTTTAGAATGATCTCTGATGATATTTATATGAGTTTAAGACTGAGAAATTTTTACAAAAGCGGAAAAAATGGGATCGTTTTCATAAGCCGATTTTACCCATTATTGAAAGAGGAGAGAAAGAAGTTTTAATAGTTCAGTTGAAAGATTGAACAAACAAAAACAAACTTACAAAATGTTTCATCTCATTTGCAACTTTCCATCACAGCAACTCGATGCTGACCGACGGCTACGCTGGACTATTTCTATTATTTCTTAAAGTGACAATTTATTGGGAAGGGTGTTTCAATTAAGACAAAACAGCAACACACTTTGTAATCTTATAAATCTAAATAATTGTTGATTTTTTTTAAAGCTCTCATTTTTACACTATTCCTACCTTTGATACAAGCACCAGTAAGCTTGTCGCAGGCTGATCCAGGTGGGCAATGGTCACAGCCAGTAGTGACAACTCTATCTTCACCTGGAATATATACAATAGATCATTGATTTTAGAAAAAACAAATATAAAAACACATAGATAATTGGGTTCTTTGAAATAATATTCACTTTTAAAACTGCTATATTAAAATGAAATGCTTACCTTGTGGTACACAGTTGCAACCATCACAGACGGTATTAGCAGAACCTCGGCAATCTGAGTCTTTCTGACATTGACAAACTGTAAATAAAGAAAATTACAGTTAATAAAATTAATTAAGAACTACCTTGTATAACGCCTTGCCTTTCACACATGCTGGGTTGTGGTCGTGGACTTGACATTCTTCATGTGGAGAGCAAGGATTAGCTATTAGGCAAGGGTTTTGACAAATGTTTTCATAGCAGGACTGGTGAGAAGCACAGTCATTTTCATCAAAACAACTTATAGCTGTAAACAAAGGAGCTATAAGAGATACGGACTAATGAAAATCAATTGAATACAAATGCTCAATATAAAACTCAACATGAAGATAGATAGAAATAAAAGAAAGAAATCAGCACAGAAGAGGTACAGGAGCACATGCAAACCCACCACCAGAGGCAACATTCAACATATAATAAAAGTAATAAAAAAAAATTAAATAAAAATAAAACAAAGCAGGAGTGTCGAAAGAGGATAATCCAGAATTTCATAGGTCCTTGCTGGATATCACACCAAGAAGAAAACATGCAGCATATTTTAATTTGCTGAAAAGAAAAAGAAAAATAATGAAAGAAATAGGTTTGGGATGTGCAAATATTTAAAATATCTAAACAAAGTAAATCATAAGTTCAGAGAGAATATGATAAAATACAGAAACATAATGTGGTATAGTCATAAAGTATATATCAGTAATATTTTGATATTTGTAATTGAAGTAAAGGCAAGTCAATTATAATCTGAAACACACATGTGTCATATATGTAGTGTGTGAAGTACGGTTCTTTCTTTTCCTATTTTGCAGAAAAGATGCCGTATCAATCCTTGCTGAAGAATATTTTTATAGCCTTTCTTCCAAAACTCTCATTATGTTTACCTGGATGTTTCACACATTCAACTGAGTCGGGCGTCTCAATATTATTCGTTGGGCACAAGCACACAATGTCATTTTTATTACTTTGACATGAAACATTTATCGGACATGGATTAAATCTTTTGCAAAGTGTGGTACATGAAGAATTTATGCAAACTTCGTTCTCAAGGCAATCATAAGACAAAGTGCACTTGCTGATACCAGACATACCAACAATATTACTATCATTTTTAAAAAGGCCAAATCTTGATTCAGTTTGGTGTTGGGTTGGCAAGGTGAAATTGGTAGAGAGCCCAAATGATGGTGTAAATGATCCGCCTGTAAGGTCTGTCGAGTCAACGGAGGAAATAGAAGAAATAACATCAGAATAATCAATAGCGCTATCGGTAATTGTTGTTTCAGGAAGACTGGTATCATCAGAATGAAAAGGGGTGGTATCTAACACTGTTGATGAGGTAGCAAAGGTATGCTCATGAGTTTCAGGTAAAGAAGGGAATGTAGGAAATATACTAGGAAGACGAGATTTATCAACTATTTGAGGAGGTGCATCGATATCCTTCGTAATATCGGATATAAAAATGCCACTCATGGTACTAGGAATGTTAGGTGAAACTTTTCTAGACTGTAATGTGGAAGGTTCATCAGGAATCACAGTTTTTAAGACATCAGGAGGAACAATTAAAGAATGAGGAGTAGCAGCATCTAAAGTTGCGGTTGATTCAGGAGAAGAAAGATTAGACAAAACATAAAAGGATGAAGGATAAGAAGGATCAGAAACAATCATAATTCCTTCAGGCCCTCTCGACGTAGAAAGTACGCTTTCTGTGGTTGGGACTGGGGAGAACGTGGTCATGTCCGAGAACGTGGTCATGTCCTCATCTGAGGGCAATTTTGAAGAGGTTTGTGTTTCTTGCATTTTCGTGTATCCGCTCTGTGTGGTGCTGTAAGTGTAAGATTCAGTAGGAGATGCTGGCTTTTCAGACAGTTTTGGAACCAATGTTGTACTGAACGTTTTAGTGGTTTCGTCGTATATTCTCGTTTCCAACATTTCTTTTTCAGGAACAGTTTCAGTGACCGTTCCTTCTCGAGACGGTGTGACCGTAGTTGGAGATTCTGTAGTGTCGTTAAATTCTCGGCTTCGAGACGTTGCCATTAAATAGGGTGTCGTGTATTTGTCAGTCTTGAGGTCACCTTCAGGCAATGTGACCTTATCGCTTGACGAGGGCACAGTACCCGTCGTCATTCCTTCAGGCCCTCTCGACGTAAAAAGTACGCTTTCTGTGGTTGGGACTGGGGAGAACGTGGTCATGTCCTCATCTGAGGGCAATTTTGAAGAGGTTTGTGTTTCTTGCTTTTTCGTGTATCCGCTCTGTGTGGTGCTGTAAGTGTAAGATTCAGTAGTAGATGCTGGCTTTTCAGTCAGTTTTGGAACCAATGTTGTACTGAACGTTTTAGTGGTTTCGTCGTATATTCTCGTATCCAACATTTCTTTTTCAGGAACAGTTTCAGTGACCGTTCCTTCTCGAGACGGTGTGACCGTAGTTGGAGATTCTGTAGTGTCGTTAAATTCTCGGCTTCTAGACGTTGCCATGAAATAGGGTGTCGTGTATTTGTCAGTCTTGAGGTCACCTTCAGGCAATGTGACCTTATCGCTTGACGAGGGCACAGTACCCGTCGTCATTCCTTCAGGCCCTCTCGACGTAGAAAGTACGCTTTCTGTGGTTGGAACTGGGGAGAACGTCGTCATGTCCTCATCTGAGGGCAATTTTGAAGAGGTTTGTGTTTCTTGCATTTTCGTGTATCCGCTCTGTGTGGTGCTGTAAGTGTAAGATTCAGTAGGAGATGCTGGCTTTTCAGTCAGTTTTGGAACCAATGTTGTATTGAACGTTTTAGTGGTTTCGTCGTATATTTTCGTGACTGTGCCTTTTCCTTCTCTGGTTTGTCCATCTGAACTAATAGTAGTTTGTATTTGTTCGATGATATTATTTTCTGAATATGTTGCAGGTTCTGTTGAACTAGCTCCAAATCTTATGTCAATGAATGTAACTTGGTCTGTATTTTTTTGTGCCGCCTGGTCTGTAGAGGTATGAACAGGAAGTGTTGTGGTGCTATCTTTCGTTTCAATGTATGGAGTTTTTTGTGGGATATCTAGATATTTTTCAATTTCATGTGGTGTTGAAATTTTACTATAGTTGTATTTACAATTTACATAGGGATTCCCGTAATAATTTTCCGGGCAAATACAAATAACATTGTGTGCCTGTGTTATGCAAACCGCTTGGTTTCCACATTTGTTCATTGTTGTGCAAGGATCTGTGCATTTCCCTTCAACGCAGATGTGTTTATCTGTGCAATGGTTATCCACAGTGCAGCTGACATTGGTCAACTCTTTGTCTGTGAATAAATATTTATAAAATACTTAATATTATTTACATTATTTTCATTATTCACATAGAAATTAGTAGATATTTTAATTTTTTTAATTCAACATGCAATTACTGGTTAACTATTTACAAATTTCAATATTTTTGCTTTACTGTATTAATTGAAAGTAAATACATTATTTTCATCGTCACGCACATTCATTTTACTTCAATTATTTTATATGTCTTGTTAATGGAACAATTGTGAAATATTTTACCTTTAATACATCCATATTTTTGATCAGCCGTATATCCCATGGGGCAAAACTTGCAGACTGGTTTGTGATCTTCCACAAAGCAAGGAGTGTTTTGAGGGCAAGTTGTGTTCAAACAAGGGTTCATACACTGAAAGTTTGTGCAGGCTAAATTTGGTGGACAACCTGTGTCTCTTAAACAAATGGACACTGTAGGGTTGCAACTTTCTGTACAAACACATACAGGCTTGTGATTAAGGACTAAACACGTCCTGTTTTCTGGGCACAAATCCGTGGTACAAGGGTTGGAGCAGGTTCCAGACATGCATGCTAACTGAGTTGAGCAATCATTACTAGTTTTGCATTGAGGTTCGGTTGATGCACACTGAAGCTCTCCATTGTCGTTTAATGAAAAGCCGTATTTGCAAACACACATAGGATTATGTTCCCGGACTTGACACTTTTTATTCGAGTTGCAAATCTGTTTTCCAGTTAAACAAGGGTCCTGACATTCACCCTGTTCACAAGACATGCTTCCAGGACAGTCTTCATTAAACTTGCACTTTTGAGATGAAATTTTTGGTGATGAATTCTGACATTTCAAATCTGGGGTACAGGATACGGTTGGGTCTCCAGAATGGCATTGGGGGCACGAGCAAACTGCCCTATGGAACACAGGCTGACAAAGAGCATTCAGGCCGCATGAACCCCTGATATTGCACACCTCTATACACTCTCCATTGATGCAAGCCTTCTCATTTGGGCAGTCTACGTCCATCTTGCACTCGCTCTCTACATACCACCAATTCAGTATATTTAAGAAGGTAAATTTATTATTAGAGAGGACAGATTTTTGAAAGAACTGTGAAAGATATATCTTTCTCACCATGCTATATTTACAAAAATAAACACAGATTATTACTTAGAAGGAAGCCTACAGATAAACACTGAGTGCTAAACAGAAAAAAAGCTTCAATCATTCCCAATCCTGAATATTTAGTTTTAAAACACCAACTATATTGTGAGATTAATTTCTTTCACAGTTCCCAATCTGCCTTCTCGATAACCAAAAGCAATTACTAACTTAAATCTAAAATCACAATATAAAACTAATCCAAGATATAATTTCAGCTTTGTTCATTAATCCAATTTTTATGCTGTATTGGATACACAGACATATTTATAATTTAAAAAAAAAATTGTCTGCAAGCTTTCAAGTGTAGTGCTAACATATCTTTTGGAAATACCAGTGAGTTATATAATTGTAATAGCCGTTAGCAAAAAGGTAGATTGGAATACTGTTTTGAATATCTCACAACTTAATTGAATTAAGGGACTGTAAATCAAACCAAAGAATTTACATTTAATGTCTATTTACAGTTCCAATCATTCTATACATCTTCACCAATAAGTGCTTCATCCAATAAAATTTACACTGTACACATTTCCATGCTTGTTGATACTTGTTTTTTCATGCAAACAAAAATTTCCAAATTTATGAACATATATATACATAGGGGACCAGCTTTATTATTTCTAATTTTGAATGAAGGATAAATCAATCCCTGGTATAAATTTACAATCTATGTAGAGTACTTTATATGAATTACCTATTTTTGCACTAATTTATTTGTACTATTTATGCATTTGTGTGTTATTTTGTGTTTATTATACTGGTGATTGTGTCAAATAAAATTCTAACATACCTGGTTTGCAAAGTGTTTGAGGATTGCCACGAGTACCAGTGGGACATTTACAAATGAAATTATCACCATTCTCTCTACATTCAGCTCCCACTCCACAACCTTCGGTTCTACAGTCTCCTCTTTTAATACCTAATACATTTCAATAATTAACTTTGGAACTAAGAAATTAAAAAAAAAAGAAGGTTATTTTAATACATTTTACGAGAGGATCTCCGAAAGGATAGTCCATGGGGCAATAACATTTGTATGAATCTCCAACAGCTCTGCATAATGCTTGTACACCACACTTAGCGGATGAACAAGGATCACTTCTCACTGAATCTTCACATATGCATCCCTTGTTTGGATTGCCGATGCAGCCCAGCCTACAACTGCATTCGTAGCCATTTGGCAATTCTCGGCATACAGTATTACGACCACAAGGATTTTTAGCACAGCTGTCGCCACCTGTGCTAGCTGTAAAACAACGAGTGATATTGATTGAATTTAGTTTTAAAGTTCAAATACAAACCTGATTTGCATTCTGTCATAGCATTGCCATAAAATCCTGGGGGACAGGTACAGCTCGCTCTCCTGTCAACAGCTCTACATTGCGCATTTATACCACAAGGGCTGTTTTTCAAGCATGGATTTCGACATACTCCATCCACATCACATGTCTTATCACTTGGACATTCCATATCTGAATTGCAAAGTGCACTCTTCGAACAGGATACTGTTGGTTCTCCTGCTGTTCCAGCAGGACAAAGGCAAATGGGTCTATGTTCAGAAACTCGACATTCGGCATTTAAACCACACGGTGAGTGACTTGTGCCGCAAGGATCTACACAATGCCCTTCTGAGCATGTTTTATCAAAAGGGCAATCACTCTGTTTTAAACAGCCACTTGCACAGACACCATTCTTACACAGCTGTCCCTGAAAAAACAAATAAATTATTCAATGATCATGATCTGTTGAAATAAAAATAAAACTTACTGGTGGACATTGCTGATTGCTCAGACAAATTGCGGCACAAACACCGTTCGAGCAAGTGTTACCGCATGGGCAATCTTTATTCTTTTTACAAGGTGTCGTGCAGTAGCCAGTAGATTCATCACAGGTACATATTCCATTACATTTCAAAGGAGGTTTAACACAAGCGACTAATGGATCTCCTACAAGGCCATTATCACAGCTACACTGCACACCATGATTCACTACTGAACATGTCGCACATGAACCACAATTGGAAGCACTCTCACATGGATCTAATAAAATAAATTGATTATAAGCTTTAAGCAGATCATTTCAGCTTTTACTAGAACTTAAAATAACATTTTCTTAGTACCTCGGCACTGTTTATTAATACACGCTTTGTTTCCAGGACACACCACATCACTTCTACAACCAACTTGACAAACTCGATTCTCACAAATTTGTCCTAAACCACACTTGGCATCAGTATTACATATTACTTTACAAATTCCATTCAAGCAACGTTCGTCAGATAAGCACACATTGTCCCTAAATTAAATAATTTAATTTAATAAATGTTGATCCGGCAGACGGTTTATTACCATGCCATATAGTAGAACATGTATTTTATTTTTCATTTTAATTTTAAACATATGTATATATTTTATTGATATACTTACGAGTTACATTTTGCCACACAGTGATTAAGATAACATGTGTATCCTTTAGTACAATCTTCATTTTGTTGACAACTTTTAATTGGTGGGCGACACGAAACTTGTGGGTCTCCGATTAGTCCTTTAATACACTCACATACCTTTTTGTGGTTCTGAACAGAGCATTTGGCATTTGTTCCACATGAAGTGGGCGAATCACACAGATCTAAATATGTAATATTACGGATAAATTATTTTTTCAAATTACGAGTAAATATATAGAACATACCAATGCACTTTGAATTGGCACACGCCTTATCTCCAGGACAACCTGAATCACTCCTACATCCTTGCAGGCACATGAAACTATTACAAATCTCTCCTGAACCACAGTCATCGTCTCGTCTACATACTGGCACACAGAGATTGCCGTCGCACTTTTCATTCCTTAAACAACCCGAATCACTCGCACAGAAAGGCCGGCATTGTTGCTCCACACAAACATGACCAGATGTACATTGCTTATTTATTGAACAACGGAGAGGAGGTGCTCGCACACAAGCAACACTCGCAGTGGGGGCAGGTACCAGGTCATTCTCACAAGAACAAACCGCCCGTTGATTGGATACCGTGCAAACTGCATTTGGCCCACAGGATATTTCTGAACATGGATTGACACAAACGTTTCCTCTACAAGATTCACTTGCAGAACAATCATCATCAGAGCTGCATCCAAATATGCAAAGGTTATTTGAGCATATATGTCCAAGGAAACAGTCATTATCAACCCTGCATGTAACTGTAAAATTTAAATTAATTTTAAAACTTTGTTTGCTTAACAACATTATTATTTCTTTTTGAAAAACTTACGCTTGCATGTCCCTTTAAGACATTTTTCATTAAGAGCACAGTCATTATCAGCTTTACACACTGGCCTACATAAGTTGTCTTCACAAATGTTTTGTGCAGGGCAGTCATTTTTAGTTGAGCAAGAACTGGGTACTAAAACCATTAAGTTGTTAGTAATGGGTTTTAACGTTTTACAATAGAAATAAATTACTAACTTCGAACACATTCAGTGAGACTATTTCCTGTAAATCCTGGTGGGCAAGAGCATTGTTTGTTGTGATCGACTACATAGCATTTGGCGTTCATTCCGCAAACACTAGGATCAAGGCATGGGTTTGTGCACCGCCCTAAGATACACTGTTCATCAAGATTGCATTCTGAATTCTGTTGGCACGAATCTAAAAAAAATTACATGATCAAGGTTAGAAAATCTTTTTTTTATTATATATGTATTTTAAAATGCACTCACTTCTACAAATTCCTCCATAGCAGTAAGTGTCATGAGGACAATCTGTGTTTGTCTTACAGGCAATTGATTTTGGTCTACAACCGACTTGTTTGTCCCTGGGGTCACCTTTATACCCAGAACGACATACACATTGCGCCTCATGATTTGTTGCTTTACACTCTGCATTTTGTCCGCAGGGATTCTCTTCGCATACATCTTAAGCAATACATTTTAATTAATTAAATAATTAACTGAATTGTGAATAAATAGAAATACCTTTGCATTTGGTTACTCCCATTATGTCGACACACTGTGCAATGTGAGGGCAGTCCTCGTTACTTTTACATTTTATGGATTGGGTGCATCCCTCTTTATAAGGATCTCCAATAGTTCCCATTGGACACAAACACTTTGCCATGCCACGTGAATTGACACACATAGTTCCAGGTCCACAGGGATTTGTTGCACAATAGTCTTCAGGCGTGCATCCTCCATGCGGATCGCCCGAAAATCCTGGTTGACAGTAGCACACCTGCCTGTGACTTTCTGCTGAACAGACTGCGTTCTGTCCGCAAGGGTTGTGAACTAGGCATGATATCTTGCACATGTGACCGTCGCAAATTTTATCATTCGAACAATCCTCATTAAATTCACATTCTATTCTAGAGCATGATGATAGAGGATTTCCAAAATAGCCGGATTTGCATTTACAAATCGCTTTGTGGCCTTTGGCCGAACATTCAGCGTTTCGCCCACAAACTTTCCCTGCACACACATTTTCACAAGTTGCCTGTAAAATAGATCAATGTTAGAGATCGTGTGATATCGCCGATCCTACAAATAATCATACCTGACCCACTGAGTTAATAATGCAAGTTTGATGATCTTCGCAATCATGGTCAGATGAGCATTTTAATTCTCGTACACAAATATTATTTTGGCAAAACTGAAAATCTGGGCAGGAGTCGTTTTTATGACATGTTGGCTGACAAACTTCAGATATGCAAAGTTGATCAAAAATACATTCCCTATTACTGCTACATACAGCTGGAAATAGATAAACAATAAAATAAATAAAATATTTTAAAACAAATTTTGTTTAATGAATTAAAATTATACATACATAAACATATTCCATTACGACAAGCTGTTCCTGACTGACATTGGAGCTCATTACTACAATACTGTAATGGCACACAACCCAAATGAGGATCACCGGTGGTTCCAGCAGTGCAAGTGCAAAATGCGTTATGCTCAACAACCGAGCAAGTTGCTTTTTCACCGCATACATTTGCTAATTCACAAGGGTTAATGCATTTGCCAGAAACACATGCTTGATCTCCAAGGCAGTCGTAGTCATTACTACACTGAAGTTTGCTACATTTTACCTATATACAAGTATAACAGTGATTATGACTCAATTATTCAATAAACTAGAAAATATTTTACCTTTGGATCCCCTGTTGTTTTCACAGGGCACGAGCAAACTGTGGCATGGTCTATAGTGGTACACACAACTTCACTTGCACATGTTTTAGGTACAAGACAAGGGTCCCGACACATATGATCTATACAAGCAGCACTTGAAGGACAATCTGAATGCACTATACAATCACCAGGCTTTCTACATCCTAGTTCACCATCGCTCACCATACCATTTGCACAACTACATAGGAAACTTCCGATTGTATTTCGACATCTAGAACAAAGCAGGTTAAAAAATTTATATTTGAACGTTTTGAAGGGGAAAAAATATATTACATTGCACTTGGATGACAAGGGTTTGTCTGACATTCATCTTGATCTACACACTTTCCGTTTGTCAACATAAATCCAGGATAACAAGAGCAAGTCCCTTTGTGTTTGCTTGAATGACATGTGCCTTGACCACAGTTTAATTTTTCACAAGGGTCTAATACAGAAAAATTGTATATGTAAGACCAATTAAATATTTAATCCATTGTATTAATTATTTACCCATGCATTTGTAAGCTTTAGGATCGCAATATTTATCAAGGGGACATTCATCATCAGAAGTACATTCTACTTTGAAGCATCCTAAAAGAGGGTCATATGGATCGCCAAGGTGACCTGCTGGACAGTTACACTGAGGTGTATGGTTGTCCACAATACACAGTGCAGCCTGGCTACAAGGGTTTTGACCATCCGAACAGGGATCTGTGCAAACATTATTCACACAGCCCAGAGTGTCTTCGCACTGATCATCATTTGAGCACGAATGTGTTTCTCTACAGCCTTTTTCTCCATACGGATCTCCGACTTTTCCATTTTCACAAGTACATTTGTACGAACCAATGCCATTCGTACAAGTGGCAGATGGGTGGCAAGGCTGTGTCAAACATTCGTTTATATCTTCACAGCCAATAACACCTAAAGTGAAACCATTCTTGCAGCTGAAACAGAAAATTAGGTTTTAGATAGTTATGTATTTTTAAATAGGATTGTTTTAAAATTGTAATGATCTCAGCACACAATTCAAGTAATTACTAAATAATTCATTTTATATTATGTAACTAAAACTATTTGCAGTTACCTGCAACGGTTTCCATTGCAGACTTGGTAATTGTCACAATCTGAATCTAACGTGCAGCCTGATTGGCAGATCCCTTCGATACAAACTTGGCCTGGGAGGCAGTTGCTTCCACCAAAACAGACTTTAAAGCAAAGTCCGTCTGTGCATCTTTCGCCAACTGCACATTCATGCGTTCCCGAACATGGAGGTTTACACTGACCCTCAACACACATCTGATTCGGAGGGCAGGGTTTGCGACTGGAGCATGACGCTTGAAGTCTGATACAGTCTTTTTCGGCAACAGGATTTCCGGCAAACCCTTTAGGACATGTGCAAAGTGCTGCATGATTTCTGGCCTTGCATAGAGCATTCGTTCCACAAGCTTGCTTTGTGCAAGGATCTAGAATTAAAAAAAAAAAAAAGTCACCATGAAAATTCTTAGCATTATTGTTATTATTTTTTAATTAAACCGATTATAAGACTTACCTTGGCACTTATTTGAAATGCAAGCTTCATCTGCTGCACAGTCTTTGTTGCTTCTACAACCTGTTATGCAAATTCCACTCACGCACGCTTGTGAAGTAAGACACTGGCGATGTCCAGTACATGGTGTTTGGCACTTATTCTGAATGCATTTCTCATTTTGAGAACAGTCTTTCGAATTTCGGCAAACAGCTGAGAAAGAAATTTAAAATATTAAATATTGCCAATACCACATATAAAAAAAATTTAAAAACTTACATTTGCATTGGCCATTTATGCAAACTTCACCATCACAGTCTCTATCAGAAGAGCAAGTAGTGAATATTCTGACACACGGTGACAAATTTGAAGTCCCAACAGCTTGAAACTTTGTCGGACATGAGCAGACCGGTTGCCTGTCAACAACTGTACAGATAGCATTTGATCCACAACTGCCGAGGCAGGGATTAACACATTTTCCCTCCCTGCAAACAGATTGTTCAGGACAGTCTGAATCGCCGTTTGGACATTCTCCTTCTTCGTGGCAGCCGAGCGTAAGTGGATCACCAATCTGGTTTTTAGGGCATTTACAGGTGTATCCACCAACAAAATCTTCTCCACAAATAGCTGTTGGATGACAAGGATTTGGTTTGCAAGTATTTATCCTCGTGCATTCTATATCTGCCACTGGATTGGGTTTGAATCCTGGAGGGCATTGGCAAATTGCATGGTGCGATTCTCCGATACAAACAGCGTTATCACCACATTTGTGCCTATCACAAACTTCTTGGCAAGTGTGAGAAAGTCTGTTACATAACTGAGTTTCAGGACAGTCTTTGTTATAAATACAAGGTACTTCTTTGCACCCTGTGGTATTTGGGTCTCCTGTGTATGGTCCAGGTGGACATTGGCACTGTGCCACATGATTATTGACAACACACAATGTATTAGGGCCGCATTTTTTCATATCACAAGCCAGTTTGCAAGATTTGACACCATTTTTACCCTTTATACATTTTTCACTTTCCATACACTGACTATCAGAAACACATTTACTCTGTAAAATTGGGACACATCCATTTCTATCATTAGGATTTCCTGTGAAACCGGGTACACACTGGCAATACCCTTTGTGGGATGAAGCAACACATATTGCATTTTGTGGGCATGTAAAGTCTAGGCAGACTTTCATGCATTTCAGGACTCCAAGAGCATCCTGTCGACAAGATTCTTTAGATTTACAATCGCTGTCAATGGCACAGTCAGGTAGAGATGGTTTTTCGCATTCTGAAGAAATTGGATTCCAGTTGAAGCTTTCAGAACATTTACAATTGGGCTGACCGGTTTTATCGCTTGTACAAACTTCATTTTTCCCACAGGCGACATTGAAGCAAGGATCTACACAAGAATGAACACCGTCGATGTTTAATGCGCATATTAACCCAGTTGGACAATCTTCATTTTTAGTACAGTCTTCTCTCGGCACTGTTCTTGAAGGCTGACAACCATTGGCAAGATCACTCGGACTACCAAAATAACCATCGACACAAATACAAGTGGATTTGTGATTGTCAGTCACACATAGCGCATTAGGTCCACACTGGATTTTTTTACAAGCGTCTAAGCATTTTCTTAACCCTTTGCCCTCTTGGAAACAAATTTCTGAAGATTTGCAATCCATATCATTTGTACACTGTTCCAAAATCTGACAACCCACTTTCAAATCAGTCGGCAATCCTGAAAACCCTGGGGGGCAAATACATTGCCCACTAATGCATGCAGCTCTTGGTCCACATTTTAATGAATCACATTGGTTTTTACACTTTCCTTTTTTGCAGACGTACCTGAAAATTTTCCAAACATGATTGAAATTGTCTTTAAAAAAAGTTGTTTAGTTTTAAAACTAAATCAAATTATTCATTTACCCTGAAGGACAAGGGCTATTTTTGCTACAGGCGCAGGTTGCTGGATCTAAACAAGTTTGTGGAGCCATTGCAACACATGAATAAAATGGATTTCCGATATATCCAGCCTTACACTGACAATCAAATGTACCAGGAGCATTTATGCAGACAGAATTTGTGCCACATGCATCACCAAGGCACTCATCAATATCTATCAATAAAATCAAATTAAAGGAAGGATATTCTCATGATAAATGGATTTTGTACATACCTTCACATAAAACATAAGGATTTCCTCTATATCCTTGAGGGCAGGTACATTCTATTTTATTTGATGCCTGCCTACATACTGCTCCTTTGCCGCAAGAATTGGGTTTGCAGACCTGTCGTTCAAGTAAAGTACTTGCACATTCTTCATAAGGATTTCCACTCGTACCAGGATCACAAGAACAAACATTGCCAGTTGCACCATAAGTACAATGAGCATTCCCGCCACAACCAGGGAAGCAGGCTGGCATAGTGATTGCTGTTAAAAATTAAAGTCTCTTTTAGACGAAGAAGAAATAAAAATAAATAAAATCAAAATACTAATGAAAAGGTATAGATATTTTCATAGATACAAACAAATGCTGACTAATAAAATTCAAAATCAAATGTTAAATGCTTACGAGGAACACAGACAAGTTGAGGATTCCCTATAAACAGCGGTGGGCATATACACAGCTCTCTCGACATATCACAAATTGCTCCAATACCACATAATTCAATTCCGCATTTGTTCTTACAACGGCCAGAAACACAAATGCTCGGTGGAGCACAAGGATTTGTCGAAGAGCAAACATCTGTTATGCATACACCTCCTGGGAAAGGATTGCCGTATGCACCTTCTGGGCATTTGCAAACAGGGCCATTGTTAGTTACGACACATTGAGCTCCTTTTCCACAAATAACTCCACTGCAGGCTAATAAAAAAAGTTTTGTTTGTTCAGTTTCTCATTTAACCTTTATTTTTATTTATTTGTTTATTTTTTAACTTACGTGATACACAGCCTTCATTTGGAGACTCAATGAAGCCAACAGAACAACGGCACCATGCAGCATGTTCTTCAGCTTCACAATGAGCATTTTTTCCACACGGTAAAAGTTCGCAAGGGTTGACGCACTTATTTTCAACACAAGTGAGTTCACCTATGCAATCTTGGTTTCCAGTGCACTCCTTCTTTCCAAGTAATCCTCTACCTGGAATAGTGATTTAATTCAAAAATTAGAAATGAACTCAAAATGAAAGAAATAATTTAACATACATCCTGTTTTGTAAGGATCCCCATTTGTTCCAGAAGGGCAAACACACTGGAACTTTCCATTCTGGTTTATGCACACTGCACCTTCAGCACACGGGTTCTCATCACATTCGTTGATATCAATGCATCCACCACTGACAGGATCAGGTTTGAATCCATTTGCACACTGACATTTTGGAGGATCGCTCGGAGAACATTTTGCATTAATACCACATGGAAATCTTTCACAGGGGCCTAAAAATCTCATGTTAAAAATATGTCAAAACAATTAATAAGTTTATCGGAACATAAATACTTTTGCACTTGTGCTTATCTAAGACATCGACAAAATAAGGTGGAGGGCAGACGCACTCCCCTGGCTGTTCACATATCTCATTAGCATTGCAGTCAACATTACTGGAACAGCGGATTTGACTAGGAGCACATAAATGCAATGGATCACCGTTGTATCCTTTTGGACAAGAGCAAGTAAAAGAACCATGTTTGTTTATACATTCAGCACCATAGCCACAAGAACCCTGTTCTTTACATTCATCCACATCTAAAATATAAACAAATTAAATATATTTGGGAAAAAAATTAATAATACATTTTTGGCTTTTATGTATACCTTCGCATTCTCCATTTTCACCTGCCTGCAGTCCTTTTGGGCAAGCGCAATAGCTCACACCACCTGCTATTGTTACACATTCAGCACCACCACTACACTTGTTAGTTTTGGAACAATCTGCCAAGACACATTCCTGTCCAATAATCTTGTATGGTGGTCGGCATTTACATTCCAAACTGCTGCATTCTGTTAATAATAAACGGAATATTGTTACATCAATATATATGTTTGGTTGAGTCGTGAAAATACCTTCACAGCCACTGTATGGGTTTCCATTGAAACCTGGTGGACAAGCACATTCATAACTCCCTGGGAGATTTTTACAGATTGCATTTGGCCCGCAAGGCTCTGCCTCACATTCGTCTAAATCTTTGCACTGTCCGCTCTCTTGTCGATAAAATCCAGTAGAGCAAATGCATACACCACTGTCAGTACCGGCAGAGGCCACACATATTTCTCCTGAAGGGCAAGGCTTTGAAGGGCTGCAAGTATCAACATTTCTGACCACAGAACAATCCCCTCTGAAAAATTGGGTTAATTTTAGTAATTTTCAACTAACAAATCAATACGATCGTAAAATAATAATTACTCGTAAGCATCTGAATTTCTGGAACCTCTTGGACATTGGCAGGAATATCCACCCGGAGTGTTTTCACAAATGGCGCCAATGGCGCAAGGTTGATCTTTGCATTCATCGATATCAGTACAACTCGGAGGGGAGCCTTTAAAACCACCTGAGCATATGCATTGTGCTTGCCCACCTAAGATTGTGCATTGTGCATTTGGCCCACAAGACATCGATTCACAAGGATCTAAAGCACAAAACCATTACCATGAAGTTTGATAGGCATTACTATTTGACCAATAAATTCTACTATAACAGATACTAACGTCTACAATCATTTCCAACATTGGGTTCTGGGCAAAAGCACCTCTGATGTTGGTCACAAATGGCATTACCAGGGCAATCATTGTCTTTTAAACATGTCACAACATGAACACATTTTGTAAATGGGTCTGGCTCTGGTACAGTTCCATTTGGACAAGTGCAAGCATAAGATCCTGCTGTATTCGTGCACACTGCGTCTTTACCACATTCATCTCCATTTTTACATTCATCAACATCTAAAATGTATTTTTAAATTAATTATCAATTTTATACTTATAAATCATGTTTTTATTATATATATATGTTTTTACCTTTGCATTCTACGAAAGCATTTCCAGTAAATCCAGGCTTACACTGACAACTGAATGTGCCAGGCGCATTTATGCAAACTGCATTTTCTCCGCATCTTCCATAAGGGCCATTAACTTTGTCACATTCATCAATATCTAAACGGAAAAAAACAAAAAATTCACATTAAACAGTCATAGTGCATGTAAATATGAAATACACACCAATACAACCGGCCGAGATGTCAGCTGGATTGAAGGTCCAACCTTCCTCACAATTACAGTAAGCGTCTTGACCTTCTGGCTTGCAGTATGCATGGTCTCCACATTTTACATCATCGCAAGGTGCTAGGAATGAAAATAAAAATTATTAAATTGTCTCGAAGGAAAAGAGGCTTACCGAATGTACCTTTGCAAAGAATTCGTGGGGGAACACCGACATAACCGGACTGACAGTCACAGCTAAATCCTCCTGGGGTATTTGTACAAACGGAAAATTGACCGCAGGGATCAGCTGCACACTCATTGATATCTTCACAAATTGAGCCAACTGCTTTAAAACCATCTTCACAAAAACACTGTCCCTCGATACAGTTTGCATTGTTTACACAGTCAAATTTGCTTTTGCAGAGCACAGTGACATCAACCTTAAATTATATTTAGTCAAAAATAATATGTGCCCACAAAATATAATGATTATGCAAGCATGATGATCTCTTAAAAGACAACTTTATTCAACTTTATGTACTAACATTATTAATTATGAAACATGATTTTTAAATAAATATGTACCTGTTCACAAGCAACTGATGGTTCTGGTTTAGCCATGTAACCTTGTGGACAGAGGCAATTATAGCCAGGGCTTGCATTCTCGCAAATAGCATTTGATCCACATGGTTTTTCAAGAACAGCACATTCATCTAAATCTGTTTAAATATTTGCAACAAGTTCGTTTAGTTTTGGTGAAAGCACACTCAAAGAAATATATACAAAATTATGTGTTGAAATTTCACCTTTGCATTCTGTATACGGGTCACCGGTATAGTCTTCATTACAAAAGCAAGTGTAGCTTCCAACTGTGTCTTTACAAATTGCATTTTTCCCACAGGGATTGTTTGCACACTCATCTATATCTATTACACAAAATAAATGCTATTAGTTTACGAAAATATATATTGTTACGATAACACACTGTTGTTTTTTAACTATTATGTGCAATAATTGATTGGGATAAAATAAAATTAACATAACATAGTTGTTAATAGTTGTGCAAAAAAGATATTTCATAGTGTGTATAAGTTGTTCATTTTGAAAATGAAAATATTTGATAATCAAAAAAGTGGCCACCCTTAATATTTTCAATTATCTTTTAGACAATCTTCCAAATATTATCTTACAACAATATTTGGTCTGTTGAATTTACAATTGGATTTTGTAAATAAATTTTCGAAGTCAATTTCTTCTTTGTTGGTTTTTCTGTAAAACCTTTTTTTTAAGGTTCCAGTAGTTTTTAAGTTGTGTCATTTTTCAGTTTCGAATTTGTTTGAGTGATGGTTTTAAGTGATACAGATTTGGCTAGAATCATAGCATTGTTGGAATATGGAAAAAGCAACAATGTGGCCAGAGTGCTTAACATTCCCAGAACAATTGTCCAAATGGTCTTCCATAGTCAACAAATACTGGAGGTTACTTAAGAAAGTGTGGATCAGGTCGCCATCGCATTACATCTCAAAGAGATGATCGTTTTATTGCTTTGAATGTACTCTGTAATCGACATTCTACCACTGTTTAGATCTAGCAACGACTTCAACAAGTTAAAAATGTTATTGTCAGTTTATGCTCTGTAAGGTGAAGACTTTCAGAAGCTGGATTGTGTGCGTGAAGGCCACTGGTCCAGAACTTCTGACAAGGCACAGAACAGCTTGGTTAAATTTTACAAGAAATCACATCAACTGGACTAAAATCTTGCTTTCGGATGAATCAAAGTTTTGTTTGAGGTTTCCTAATGGCCAAGAGAGGGTTTGTAGAACAGGAGAGTGAAATCTACCAGCAACATTTTCATTCTGGAGAAGCTATGAAGGTGTATCGTGTTATGGTTTGGGCAGGCATCTCTAGGGAAGGTCGCACCAACATGATTTTCATCGAGGTTTCCCTAACAGTTGTTCAATACATTGAATATTATCAAGATGTTCCTTATATGCCACTAATTGGTGAAGGTTTTATTTTTATGCATGACAAGGCACGGCACCTCACAGCTAGGATCGTTGGTGGCTACTCAGAACGGGATTCAATTCAATCTTTGGACTGGCCATCATGTAGTCCCGACTTCAACTCAATGGAACACCTTTGGGATGAGTTGTCGAAGAGGGTAAAAAATCACTCAGTGATGCCTAAATGCTAAAATTTACAGGAATTAAGAATGTTGGAGGAGTAAGAAAATATTCCACAGTACTACTTTCAAAACACATAAAACTGATGCCATCTCGAAGCAAGTGATCAACTCTGCAAGAGGAGGATACACTCCATACTGAATTGAATATTTTCTTTATTCCAATAACAATATTTTTGGTGAAATTGTTTTACTCAGTGTAATTGTTTATCTAATTATTTTTATTTAGCTATACCTTATATTTTTCATTAAAAATATCCATTAAAAACAAAAAATAAAAATTATAACGATTGCAAGTAGTTACTAAAAAAATGGGGGTGTCCTCTTTTTTGCCTATCAGTGTATAAATAAATATAAAAAGAGAAAAGAATAATAATAAAATTACCTCATGAGAAGAAATGAAGAAAAAGATTGCAGCTTGATTCCAAAATAAAATATAAGATCTAGAATTATAGATGGTGTAGAACATGCTAAGAGAACAAGCAAACAGTCGAAGAAAAAAAAAAGAAAAAAGTAAAAATGAGCTGAAACACAAAATGGTATATTGCTGTACAAGCATGCATTGCAGAAGCCCATGAAGCATTTTGAAATATGGATGTATTCATTATATAATAATATGTGAGAGGGCAGAAGATATTAAAAAAGTTACTTAGGAAATATGGGACATTTTGTCAGTATATTAGTATATCAACCATAGTTCCTAAATTAGCAAAATCCCAGTTTATTATGAGTTTTAATTGTTAGGAGAGTTTTAGATCCATATTTCTATAAAATAGGACTGTACAAAGTGTTAGTAACTGACTCTGGCAGAAGACTTGTGGATCTCCAGAAAATCCTGTTGGGCAAGAACAGGTGTAGCTGCCTGGACTGTTGACACATTTTGCATTCACACCGCAAGAATTGCTCCTTCCACACTCGTTGACATCAACGCACTCCTTTTCTGGAATCCCGGTGAATCCTTCTCTACACTTGCAGCTGTAGTTTCCTGGGGTGTTGACACAAAGCGCTCCTTTGCCACACGGTGATGAAGCGCATTCGTCTGTATCTTTGGGTTAGTCAAGCAATCATGTTAACACACCTCTCCATTTTCATTAGTTAAATGTTTAAATACAACACTACTTATATATACAAATTGACTAATCAGGATGAAAGGAATTGTGCTGATTTGTCACTTTTACTTACCGAGTAATATTTCAAAAGACACCTACCTGTACATTCGATGTAAGGATCTCCGTAAAAACCCGGTGGGCAGCTGCATTCAAAGCTGGAAACAGTGTTAATGCAATTTGCACCTGATCCACACGGGTTCTGGTCGCATTCGTTCATATCTTCGCATGATCCATGGACAGGATCTCCTGTGGTCCCGATGGGACAAGCACATTGGTAACCTCCGATTGTATTGCTGCATATCGCACCATGGCCGCAAGAGCCTTGGTACGAGCATTCATTTACATCGAAGCACTATAAATTCAACATTTTAGTGTGCAAAATGAACATGAACTGAATGCGAGTGATTTGGACATACCTCTTGAAATGGATTACCGTCATAGCCTTCTAAACAACTGCATGTATAATTTCCAGGGATGTTATGACAAACAGCATTATGACCACACGCGTGAGGATTGAGACATTCATTGATATCTGAAAGCACAAAGTATTCAGTAGTATATTACTACTTAGTATTAAATTATTAGGAAAGCGTCTTCCATTTTTAAAAGAGCTATTTTTTTTATATAGCAATGAATTTCATGAACCACAAATATACCTATGCATTCTTCCTCTCCATCTCCTTCAAACCCTGGCAGGCATTTACAGAGAAAATGAGCAGGCAGATTACAACACTCGGAATTAGCCACACAACGTGCTGCAACTGCTGGATCGTCACACTCGTTTACATCTGCAAACGCGACAGCGTGAACATAGCGATCATTTTTTTAAACATTTTTCTCCCAGTAGAAGAGTATTTTACCTTGACAATGGAAACCGTCTCCTGTATATCCGGGAAAACATGAGCAGTGAAAGCTACCCAACGTGTTAGTGCAGTGGGCAAACACGTCGCATGGTCGGTACTTACACTCGTTCTCGTCTAAAAATCAGAAAAAAATTTAGAACTGATAGGCCAAATGGGGAAAAAAGTTGCCACGTACCTGGAACTTCACAAGAACAGCCACCGTAGCCGTCATTACAGTGACATTGTGAGTCCAAACAAGCTCCATTCTCACATCTTGCCCCGGATTCCTTCGTACAGTCATCTAAAAGAAAAAACTATAGTTAAAAACATATATTTCTAATTTTCTAATGGATTTTTCTCCATTTATACTATGAAACCAATGATTGGTATTACATTAAATGAGTTTAATGAACAGGGCTAAATAATCAAAACCTTCAAAAATGTTTCAATTACATCTTCTTATTTATATTGTGTGGTGATTAGTGACCGTTAGTCGATGATTATTGGGATGGTGTGATGTAGGTTTCAGAAAAACATTTTCTTTATCGTGCCAACGTTTCGATCTTTATTGAGATCATCTTCAGGGCTCAAAGTGTTTGTTTTCTGCGTAGTGCCCACGCAACACGACATGCAAGAATGGCACAATTACGCAGAAAACAAATACTTTGAGCCCTGAAGATGATCTCAATAAAGATCGAAACGTTGGCACGATAAAGAAAATGTTTTTCTGAAACCTACATCACACCAGACCGCATCTCTCGATTTCCGAATAATCTTATTTATATTTTTGATTTGTTGTAATTATAAAGAAATCAAGTTGATTTAAGTTTCAATTATTGGCAAAATTCTGTAAATATTAGAGGTAGGTGAACACATGTTAGTTTTGTAAATATGAAAAATTAAAATATCCCGTTGTATCTTTATTTGGCGATGAGCAATGTCTTGTTTGAAGAACGTGGGACGTTCGAGGACCCGATTGTGCAACAGTTACGGTCTCGGGCCTTGGCGGAGGAGGAACAAAGGCGAACAGCCCCAATCAACTGGGCGGAAAGAGTGATTACTAATAAAAATTATCTGGTGTTATTCAATTAACGAGCTGAGCCAAGGTCGATTCAAGGGGCAGCGGTCCGTTATGCACTTCCGAGCGTCATAGCTGCATCCTGCAGGCCCCAAGTGCACGGGCCAATTGCATAACTGTTCCACGCCTTTCACCTTGCGTCGTGACGAGAGGGATAGTGTTAAATGGGCTTCATGCTATTTAAAAGTTTTTTTACAACGGAGATGGCGTGAAGCCAAATCGCACATGAATGAAACACTTAAACCTGCGAAAAAATGTACCGACCCAGTACAGTGTCGATCAGTTCTACATAGCATGTGTTCAAAGACAGAACTAACGCCACAAACTTTAAAATAGAATTTAAGAAAATTTACAAGAGGAGAGAAGGAGAGAGATGGATAGATGGGGAGAGAGCGACCGAGCGAGAGAGAGTGATGGCAGAGAGAGAGGGAGAGAGAGGGGGGAGAGTGAGAAAGATAAAAAGAAAGAGAGAGAGAGAGAGAGAGAGAGAGAGAGAGAGAGAGAGAGAAAACTGAATTAAATTGAAACCCTTTATTTATAATACTCGTAGATTTAGGTCATATTGGCCTTTTTTTGCAATCAACGAGAGAGAGAGAGAGAGAGAGAAAGAGAGAGAGAGAGAGAGAGAGTGAGAGAGAGAGAGAGTGAGTGAGTGAGAAAGAGAAGAGAGATCGAATGAAAAAGAGGAAACTAAAAAATAGGACGAGAAATAAAAAATATACGAGCTATAATAATAAGTAACAATAATTGGAGCCCTTAACTATTTAAAAAATTGTCAGGCGTCATAAAATTTAAAAATCCAAAATGTGATATTTTAAATTAAAAGGATCTTTCAATATACATGTAACATCCCTTAGAAAGAGATTCTCAAGAAAAAAAGAATACATTAAAATAGTAATAAATTAATGGTAATACAATATTGATTAAGCAAACAATAAATAAATAAAAAGGTGTACAAATAAAATTAGGACAAATGTAATTAAAATTAAATAGCCAGTAGGGAAATTTAATCAAAAATTAAAATAAAATCAACCTGGATAGAGCATGATGGGACAGAGGTTCAGAAAGGTAGATAACTGACTCTCTCTCCTCCACCAGAGAAGAAAGGTTGTAAAAACATTGCAATAAAAAAAATTATTATGTGTGGTATTTATTGACCGTTAATTATTATTTTGAGATCGTGAGATGCGGTCTGGTGTGAAGTGTTCTGGTGTTTTAGAAAAACATTTTCTTTATCGTGCCATCGTTTCGATCTTTATTGAGATCATCTTCAGGGCCTGGGATTTATAAACATTGTTTAAATTCCAGGCCCTGAAGATGATCTCAATAAAGATCGAAACGTGGCACGATAAAGAAAATGTTTTTGTAAAGCCTACGTCACACCAGACCGCATCCTACCATCTCAAAATAATCACTAAATTATTATTTTGATTTCTTTTCAATAAAAAAATAAAATAAAATAAATAATTAAAAATACTATTAATTCTTATTTTTATTGTTTATTATTGTTTGGAGGCATTAATTATAACAATTATATCAATCAATATTTTCAATTTAAAACATAATATACTAATAAGTATAAAATTGTTCCTTTAAAACCACTGAGGCAAGTAATATTTTACTTGTATGCTTAGGGCTTACTGCTTACTTACTTGAGAATGAAGAGCTCCTCTATTATTGTAAATTTTATTTTCACAGAATTGGTCAAATATTATATTCATTCTTAACTTTAAACGAGGGTGATGAGATACTAGGATATAGCGATAAACAGTACTTCTACTATAACAATACTAAACATAAAAATATGAGATATTTTTTACTTACTGGAACATTTCAGTTCCCTTGCCAATTCGTCGGATCCCCTGTAGCAATCGTTGGTTCCATCGCAAAGCCTTGACAGTTCGTAAAGTTGGAGGAAGTCCGTCGACTCGTTCACTTGACAGCCGAAATAGCCGTCCTCCAAGTTAAGAAAAAATATTTCCTTTTTTATTCCGAATCCAATACCGTGTGAGTCCGACTGAAACATAAAAGGTACACATTAAAAAAAATATATATGTGTGTCGTCAGTCATTCTAAGACCAAATCCCGAGGGTTAAATTTGATTCGCCGTAAGAAAGATCGGCATGAAAATAGGATTGATTAGGCAATGAAACGGCTATTAGGAGAACGGTTAGTTGGCTGAAAATAACAAGAGCAAACGTCTCAGTTCGCTAAATCGCTTACATAACACTCCAGCTTCTGACACAAAATGGCTAATACGCTGGAGCATTGAACAAAGATGGGTTTGCAAAAACAACAGTTTTGTATTAACTTCGAACCCAGGGAGTATGAAAAATCGAGATGAAACGGACCCCCATGAAGAATTGAGTTGGGTTGAATTTTATATCTAATCTGTTAAAACGTACTATACACCTGCTAAAATAAGCAAAATTCAATTTGATCTAAAGTTTAGATTAGAAAAATGTTTTAAGTTTCGTTAATTTAATAAACAAAAAATGTTTATATTGGAACAGTTCCTCTGGAGGTCTGCGGAGTAATGGACCCGCAGTATGGCCTCCCTTTCCTAGTCTTTTTGGTCTGTCAGAGCTCCTATTTTTCTAATCAATCTTTAAGATCCTTTATAGAATGAAGTAAAGCCAAAACGCGTACTCACAGACCAAAACAGCAAATGTGGGCAGACCAAAATGAACAGACCTAAGTTTATATGTAATCCATTACAGTTCGTGGTCTGATTGACCAATTAACTTTTTTTCAATTAATTAACCTTTATGAAAGGTATTGGTTGAGATGAAAAGTCAGTGTCACGAGCGGGATTCGAACCCACGACCCCCGGCTAAATACGCCGCTGCTCTAACCACTTGAGCTCTCGCGACTTCGATCCACTCGGAGATGGAGGGTTGATGTCCGAATGGAGCGAAGTCGCGATAGCTCAAGTGGTTAGAGCAGCGGAATATTTAGCCGGGGGTTGTGGGTTCGAATCCCACTCGTGACATTGACTCTTTTATCTCAACAATTTTTATCTCAATACCTTTAATGTAATCTCAAGTTTTAAAAGTTTATGGAACTGCCAAACGTTGCTGCTACTATACCATGAAAACTAATCGATCTAGATGATTATGATGATGGAGACTAGCAGTGGGGTTTTTGTGTTGTTCTAACACGGAAGACCTCTTGCTTATTGTACTTTCCTAGTTCCTTAGACCAGTGCAATCGACTCGATCCTTCTCCCAAAGAGATTGGTTATTGACTGTCGTTGCTACAATTCCTTTCCATGGGGTTTCTTTATTCCAGGTTATGTCTCCATTGAGCGGTGGATTCGCATTCGAAGATGATATGGGCGGCTGTTTCTGCCTCAACATTGCATAATCTACAAATTGGGTCATCATTGAATGAAGATGCTTTCTAGATGCCAATGACCGGTATACAGTCTTATCACTCCTCTCAGTTTAGCCCTCTCCATCTGTAGAAATGTAGGGTTGCTGAGGGTTCTTTTATCATAAGGTTGCTGTGTCTGTCACGTCTAGATTTTGCCCATTTCACTTTTTGTATATTTTGGAACCATTCTGAGATGGAGAATTATGTGTTCGTTTTTGTCATCCAAATTATAGGTTCTCGGCCGCTTTTTCATTACCCAAAATTCCTTTGTGTCCTGTCACATCTAGACCAAAAACCTTCGCTACCGTTTGCTCCGTGGGATGAGGTTCTCTTATGGTTTTAAAATACTATAAGATTTTATTGGCTTGAGAAAACTATCCCAACTAAAACCAAACTGTGCAAAAAGGGCCAAGTTCCAGACCACCTCCAAAAATATTGGTCTTTCTATCTAATGATATCTACACTGTGGCCAAGTCCATTCTTTTTTAGTTCATTTTTAGTCCATAACCTGAGAGAACTTAAAAGAAAAGAGAAAAGTTCCAGAATCCCTCCTAAGAAAGTAAAAAAAGTCAGCCTATCAAAGTAGTAATAACTACTTGTGGCCAACCTCACTTCACTCCTACTTTTATGTGCCCGATAATTCTTATTTTTATTGGTTAACACTTGGCCAGTTTCTTAATGACATCAAGACCATGTTTGCTCACACAGAAGAGATGAGTGAAGGGAAGGTAGAGAACTCATAAAAAAAGTTCCAGTCTTTTCATTGCCCTATGGTATGGTATGGTATGGTAGAAAAGGATACTAGGAAGCGGGGTTTGCACTCCCCGGGCACTGCAGCCTTCTGGCTTATTGTACCTTCCCAGTTCCCTAGTTTAGTCAATAGACTCAATCCTTCTTCTCAGAAGCATCAAGTCATTGACTGTTATTGCTGCAATTTGGTTCCCTGTGTCTTTTTCGTACGCTAGGTTAAACCTCCATTGAGCTGTTGCTTCGCATTCGAAGATGATATGAGTGGCTGTTTTCATCGCTGTATATACCCATGTTGTGTAGATGTTTTCTCAGATACCAGTGACCGGTTAGTAGTCCCACCACTCCTCTGAGTTTTGCCCTCTCCAATTGCAGCAGTGTTTTTGCCAATTTTGGTGAGGGTTGTTTCAGCATAAGTTTACTATGTCTAGCACCGCTAGAGTTTATCCACTTCTCTCTTTGTTTTGTTTGGATCCATTCTGCGATGGAGGAATCTATGTTTGTTTTTGTTATCCCAAGGATAGGTTCGGGGCCTATGTATGGTCTTGCAGATCCTCTTCTGGCCAGTTTGTCCGCCTCTTCGTTACCCAGAATTCCCCTGTGCCCTGGCACCCAAGATATCATCAGGTTGTTGTGTTCTCCCAGGTTTTGGAGATTTTGGATACATTCACTGACTAGTTTTGATGTAATTCTTTTACATGCCAGTGCTTTAATAGCTGCTTGACTGTCTGATGTTATGAGGATTTTTTTGTCAGTGTAACCTCTTTTGAGATTTTCCAGGACACAAGCATTGATGGCATGTATTTCTGCTTGAAAGATCGAAGTTCATTGCCCTATACGGGAAGTAGTTTGTAATTTTGATGATGAGACAACCCCACCCAGCCACCCCTAAAATGGAACTAATTTGAGAAAATTGCAATATTCAGATTTGTCCCTTTACTTACAATATAAGCCTTATCTTTCTACCAAATATCACGGTTCTGTCTATACGGGAAGTGTCTTATACGACAATTTTGAAAATAAGACAAAACCCTCCCCCCCTCTAAGGTGGTGCTAATTTTGAGAAAATTGCAATTTTCAGATTCTTTCCTTTACTTATCCTACATTTGTAGGTACATATCACATTTCTACTTATACGGGAAGTGCCGTTCAATTTTGATGATGAGACTCCTCCTACAATCGACATTAATTTTGGGAAAATTGAAATTTTCACATTCTTATCTGTTTTACAATATAAGAACTATCTTTGTACCAAATTTCATGTTTCTACCTATATACTTATAATTTTGATGGTGAGACTACACTCTCCCTCCCTATAGTGGTATTAATTTGGATAAATATTTACCGAATTTGACGTTTTTAACTATACGGGAAATACCTTATTTATATCAATATAATTTTGATGATCAGTGAGTCAGTCAGTAAAAAAATGCAAATTTTGAAATTCTCCCCTTTCGAAAAGGATTAATATTAAGTGATCAAATTTTTACAATGTCCTAAGCGGACTAATTTATGTTTCAAATTTCAAAAGCTCATCTTTGGGCGAATTGGTTCATGTAAAGATACACAGCGGCTTGCTGTAACTTGGCCAGCGCGCTGCCATGCGCTCAGATTTTCAAGGTACAGCGTTATACGTTATGAAAAACAAAATAGTCCAATGATTATCCTAGATAAGACATTCAGATTTTATGTCTTTCCTCACTCGTCGAATGTAGAATGTATAGGAGCATTATCACCATAAGACACCTAGATCCAATTATTTTACAGATGTATGCTATAATAATCTTGAGGTCTTTTGCATTTGAAAAGTCTTTAGCTTCAGGTGGCGAAGTGAATAATCATTCGGTATTATGAAAATGATTAGATTTGGATGTATTATTTTTTGAGTTAGGGCAGTGTAAGCTACTTTGATGATAGAAATGCTCATGCGTATAGTCATACATGCATGCAGAGTTGATTACATTCCATTTAGTTCATATTATAGTTCTTGTTTGTTACTTAGTTTCTTCTAATATGATCCTGATATGGGTGAAGATGATGAAAGAAAACATGATTTATACAAACTATCGTCATTTCTATTCCTGCAACTGATTAATGGCACTTGCAGCATATTGTACATTACATTCGACGTCTTCGGACCTCAATATGCTGCAAGCGCCATGAATCAGTTCTGTAGAAATATAAGTGACGATAGTGTGTATAAATCATGTTTTCTTTCATCATTGTTAATGTGGGTGAAGATGAATTTTTACAAATGATTTTGGCCAGAAAGATTAATAGCTTTTTAATACCATTTTCTACATTGAAAATATCTGTATATTTCAGGGTATGATTTATGTGTGGTATTTAGTGACCGTTAGCCAATGATTATTTGAAGATCGTGAGGTGCGGTCTGGTGTGACGTAGGTTTTAGAAAAATATTTTCTTTATCATGCCAACGTTTCGATCTTTATTGAGATCATCTTCAGGGCTCAAAGTGTTTGTTTTCTGCGTAGATGTGTCATTCTTGTCTGTCGTGTTGAGAGTACCCACGACCCAATTACGCAGAAAACAAACACTGAGCCCTGAAGATGATTTCAATTAGGTTGAAACGTTGGCATGATAAAGAAAATGTTTTTGTAAAACCTACGCCACACCAGACCACATCTCACGATCTTCAAATAGGTATGATTTATTTTTCATGTCTATTTTAGTGCAGTGTACTTATGAATTCATGGAGGGGGGGGGTTTGGAGCTGTGAACCCGAGTTTCAAGGAAAAATAAGAAAGGAATTAAATAAATAAAAAAAGGCGGTTAACCGGTATAAAACTGTTGATCCATATGTTAACGTTACAAGGTGGACCGGTTTGTCCGGCAAAACTGAAAGCTAAATGCCAAGCTTCCATTCTTGCCCTG